GGATTGTCGTGCGGCGGTAATCTGGGACACTTTGCTCTGAGGGCCTGTGCCTGAAGAAAGCTGAGCGGTGGTTTCTAGATCAGTTTTCTTGTCCAAGGGCCCCTCAATCCCTTCTAAGCCTCTTTGAGTAAGCCCTTTAGGTCCTTACCCTAAGCGGTAGATCAGAGACTGCCCTAATAAGACCTAACACCCTAAACCCTAAACCATAAGCCCTAAACCCTAAACCCTAGACCCTAAACCCTAAACCCTACACCGCTGCGGTCCAGGCAGGCCCTGTTGGTCATCAAGATGTTCAGGGCATTGAGGTAGCCTCAGAACTCGTGGGTGCTGAGTTGGGTTTCGCCATCACACCCCAGAGGGTCCATTTGTATTACTGTTATGGAATTAAGTACCAAAAATCATACTAAATCGGGTTTTGGGGTACCTAAATCCATAATAGTACTACAAACGGACCCTCTGGGCACTGAACCCTCAACCCTATACCGTAAACCCTTAAGTCGTGAACACTTATTCTGCGAACTCAGTTTGTTGGGGTAACCCGCTATTGTCACAAGTTTTGCTTCAGGATGCTAATTTTTGTCAAGGGTCTGCGCTTAGGGTTAAGCGCTTACGTAGCACATCTTAATTAAAGAGCCAGAGCCCGTAGAATCCAGGAAGCTCAGCCCGGCCAATTGCATTGAAAACCATTTTGAATTTCATTGGGTCATTTTCAGGAACCCTAATTAAATGAAGGGGATCTACTTTTTGGATCCTCCTAGGCTCTGGGTTGTAACCTGAAAAGGCGGCTCCAGTTTTGGGTTTCATGGGGGTTGCAATCCCAAGTATGAAGAAGAGCAAAAAAGGTACTCCTTCTACTACTTGCCACACCCTAAACCCTACACCCTACACCCCACACCCTAAACCCTAAACCCGTCTTTAGGGTTTTGGTGGGTCGGGGCTGCGAGTGTAACAGAAGGGCTCAGGCGCCAAACAAACCCAAGTGTCAGTCATCGGAAATGTCCTTGATGGCTGTGTCAATCTTCCTCCGTGGAAGACACCCGGCTAAAGGTTTAGGGTTGGGGGCTGTGGGCTTCGAGGTTGAGAGGGTTGGAGGTGTAGAACCTGTAGGCGTTCGTGCGAGCCCGACACACAAGACTCTAAGGGCCTCCCCGAAACCCTAACCCTAAACCCTAAACCCTAAACCCTAAACCCTAAACCCTAAACCCTAAACCCTAAACCCTAAACCCTAAACCCTAACCCTAGACCCTAGACCCTAAACCCCCTTCAGGGTATCGATGTGCTTGAAATCTTTCGAGCAAGAGATACAGCAGGCATGAGAGGTTAAGGCCCTAAGCTGCAAACCTGCGGTTCAGGGCTTATAAGGTTTTATGGGGGCTGAGGGTTAGGGTTTAGGGTTTAGGGTTTAGGGTTTAGGGTTTAGGGTTTAGGGTTTAGGGTTTAGGGTTTAGGGCTAGACCCAAGCCCCCGTTTTCGCCCAAAAACCCTCAATCACCTTCCAAATCCCCCTTGAAAGTAGACACTCCAGACCCTAAAACTTCCAGAGCCTCCCAGCTTGGGGGTTAGGGTTTTGGGGTTCATGGGTTCCCCTACTACCCCCCCTCTATACTGCCCCGGCCTAGGTTCCCCCCCTAATTAAGGCTATTGGGGATAATTTCGCCCAATTAAGGTTATCATTTAAGGGGGAACGGAGTTCAGGTTCTGGTGTTAGGGTTTACGGCACTCACCGATATACAAGGCAATATGAGCCCTTCTTCGAAACCGTCCAAACCCTGGACCCTAAACCCTAAAACCCTGAAACAATAAATGTCCTAAAACCCAAAACACTAAACTGAACAACCCTACAACTCTAACACCCTAAACCCCTCGACGCCCTAGTACTAAGACCCTAAGGCCTGTAAACCCCGCAAACCGCGTAAACCCTAAAACCTGTTTAAACCCGCAAACACTGCCTGAAACCTTATTAACCTTAGCCATTTTCGCCCTAAAGCCCCAAAACCCCATAAGCCCTGAAAGCCACCTTGAAATCTTGAAGCCCTGAAACCTAAACCTAAACCCTGAAACCCTAAAACTTTGAAACTCCAAACGCTGCTAACCCTAAACCCCAAACCTCAAACCCCAAACCCTCAACCCTCCCAAAACAAAAACGAAACCCCAGACCTCAAGCAGCGTTCCACCCTTAAACCCTAAACCCTAAACCCCAAACCCTAAACCCTAAACCCTACAAACCCTAAACTCTGGCAGCCGTGTGACGCGCTCAGCTCCTCGGAGTAGTCGGGTCCCATGAAGCCGCCATCGTCGATGGCAAGGGAACCCACCTCCGACCTCAATTTAGCCAACAGGGTTTAGGGTTTAGGGTTTAGGGTTTAGGGTTTAGGGTCCAGAGTTTAGGGTTTAGGGCTTCGGATTAACATGGCTTCGGCTAGCGTTAAGGGTTTAGGTTTCGGGCTTATAGGGTTTGGGGCCTTTTGTTCGCGGGGTTTGGGGTGGGCTGAGAACTTTGGGGTTAGAGGGATTTCGAGGAGGGGGTGGTGGTAGAGTACGAGGGCTTCAGGGTTTCGGGCAGGGGTTGAGGGGGGTGTAGGGTTCGAAGTTGCTGAAGGCCGTTTAGAGTTAAAGTTCAGGGGTTAGGGTTTCGAGAGTTGTGAAGATTTCAGAGGCTCTGCAGGGTGTTGAGGGCTTGAAGTGTCTTTAGGGATTGGGAGTCTTCGGAATCACAACTTGAACCCTAACTCTCGGAAATCTACAGGTAGTTGCATGGTCCCTTAATATGGTCCCTCACCTCCCTGAAAGGGTGCTGAACCTTGGGGGTTATAGGGTATATAAGGGGAGTCAAGGAGCCCCCTTTGAAGGGCCCATCTTAAAGGACCCATGCAACGACCCTAAAAGGGGACAAGAAGTGAATGCAACTATGGCAAGGGTTCCTTAGGTTCAATGACGGAGCTACTATCTGCTTAAGACCTGATTAAGAACCCCCGACTATTACCTCTGCTATTTTTCTGAGGTTGAGCTTATTCTTTCGACACAAAAGCCATAAACATCAACAAAAATCAAGGCTTAAAGCCCAAATGTTGTCCAAGCAAATCTGATACAAGTCGCCCCGAAACCCTAAACCCTAAACCCTAAACCCTAAACCCTAAACCCTAAACCCTAAACCCTAAACCCTAAACCCTGAACCCGAAACCCTGGGGTACCTGTGCACGTCTTGCTGCATCACCGTCCCCATCCAGACCCTAAACCCTCAACCTGAACTTGTCAGGACGTCTTCGGTTTAGGGTTTAGGGTTTAGGGTTTAGGGTTTAGGGTTTAGGGTTTAGGGTTTAGGGTTTAGGGTTTAGGGTTTAGGGTTTAGGGTTTGGGGTTTAGGGTTTAGGGTTTAGGGTTTAGGGTTTAGGGTTTAGGGTTTAAGGCGAGTCTTGTCTGAGGTAGAAGCTCAAGAAACTTGCCCCTCATCACTCGCACGTCAAAAAACCTAGATTCGATGTAACTGTCGCAGGGCACTACTGCTTACTGGAACCTCTGGAACCAAGCAGTCGACAGTTAGGACTTAGGGCACAGGGTCTGTGTACAAAGATTAGGTGAAATAAAAGGGTTGAAACCTAAGTAGCCCGGGAACCATCTTACCATAAGGGTACCCGTTTTTGGGTTGGTTACTCTATACGGGAACCTTGAACCCCCCCAAAAGGCAGCGGAAAAGGGCCCCACTGGGCTACCGAGGGGATTTGGGATGTTCCACCCTTATACTGACAGTCCTTAATCGAAAATAGAATAAGGGTTCTAGAAACCCGATTAGGGACTGTGAGCATAAGAGGGACCATCCCAAAAAGTGGCATGTTTAAGGGGTCTTTTGGGACTATTACCCAGAGGGTCCATTTGTATTACTATTATGGATTTAGGTACCCAAAAACCATACTAAATAAGGTTTTGGGTACCTAATTCCATAATGGTACTACAAATGGACCCTCTGGGTTACCCTGAAACCACAAAAGGCACACAAGTAACGCCACGCCTTGGCCGAAGATGTGATGCGAGATGGGCGAGCAAGGTGGCAAGGTGAAAGGGTCTTTCCGAAAAAAGCAGGGTTTAGGGGTTAAGCTTAGGGTTTAGGGTTTAGGGTTTAGGGTTTAGGGTCTATAGGGTTTAGGGTTTAGGGTTTAGGGTCTATAGGGTTTAGGGTTTAGGGTTTGGGGCTCAGGGGTCGTTCACCAAGCCTGGCTCACATGAGAACTCGGGAACTGTCTTGCCACCACCAGCTGTCAATTCACAGTCAGCTGCTTCCAAGAGGCATGCAACCTTCGAATGGCCCTTGTCACGAGCATACATGAGAGCTGTCCAGTCATGGTTGTCTCTCAACTCCTTGTCAGCACCAGCTTCCACCAGCAAACGTGCAATCTCCAAGTGACCCTTGTGACATGTGAGCATGAGAGCGGTCCTGCCAAGAATGTCTCTCACGTCCCTGTCAGCACCAGCCTCCACCAGCGAACGTACAATCTCCAAGTGGCCTTGGTGACATGAGAACATGAGAGCTGTCCAGCCATCCGCGCCCCAACCTGTGGTTGCCAAGTCCTTGTTGGCACCAGCTTCCAGCAGCCAGCGTGAGATCTCCGCATGGCCTTTGTCACACGCGAACATCAGAGCTGTCTTGCCCTCGTAATCTCTCATGTCCTTGTCAGCACCAGCTTCAACTAGCAGCTCTGCAACCTCCCTGTGGCCATGGTCACATGCAAGCATGAGAGCTCTCTTGCCCCACCAGTCCAACCAGTCCATCTCAGCGCCAGCGTCCACCAAGAGGCGCGCCATCTCCACGTGACCACTGGCACATGCAAACATGAGAGCCGTCTTCCCATCCTGGTCCCTCAGATTCTTCTCAGCGCCGCAGTGCAGGAGCAAGCGGGCAACCTCAGTGAGGCCAGTGGCGGCGGCATGCATGAGCTCCTTGGTACCCAGAGACTCCAAAACCCCTTAATCAAGCACCCTAATATGATGTAACGTATATTCCTTAATTAGAAGGGGTTTTGGAGCTCCTCGGTAGCTGCCACGTCTGGCAGGGACGCCTTGAGCAACAGCTGCAACTCCAGCGGCTCCTCCAGCATCATGGCATCTTCCAACCTACAAGGAGGGGGCCCCCCTTATCATTATACTAACTGTAATCTATAGGGACTTAGAACCCGAATTTAGGAAATTTAGGATCCTTATAACTATACCAACTTAGGGCTGTTATACCTCTACTTATAACTAGGGGGGGCCCTTCCAACCTCTTGCTGCCATGTAGGAGCTCTTGGAGGCACACAGGAAAGCCGTGCAACTGCCGCAGGTGGAGCTTCAGGGCCGCGACGTCACTCAAGTCCGCCGTGGTCAGGGAGGCAAGCTCTTCGCCGGATATACCCCTGACTCGGAGCATCTTGCTTCACGACGCAACGCCGGGGGGCGCTGGCCAGCGAAAGCTGCACTCAGGCCCCCAGAAAGGCAGAGCCAGCCATCAACTCTGCACCCTGACTAAAGATAGGGAGTCCCAAAAGAGGCACGAAGTCACGAAACCATTAACGGGATTGTCTTGAACTTAGGGGTTTGCTTATAGGAACTCGGTCTTTTTATTGGCATATATAAGGGGTTGAGATTGAAATCCCGGATTCCAACTGCGCTGTTCAGGGTCTGTGGATTTCTAGCGACTTGGTAGCCGGGAAACCATATTGCAATAAGGGTACCCTTCTTTGGGGTTGGTTGCTTTATAAATGACCTTGAACCCGAAAAAAAGTGAAAAGGGTACCACTGGGCTACCCAGGGAATTTGGGATGTTCCCCCTTATGCTAACAGCCCTGAATAGGGATTAGAGTATCCCCTACTATAATCCCTACTAAGGGCTGTTAGTATAAGGGGGAACATCCCAACAGGGGATGTTTACGGGGTTTTGAGGGATTTTTTTTAGACTTGGGGTTGTTTCGAACTTGGGGGCAGCCGTGTGATCTCCATCACATGGGCTCGGGTCTAGGGTTTAGGGTTTAGGGTTTAGGGTTGAGGGTTGAGGGTTGAGGACTTTAGGGTTTAGGACTTCAGGGCTTTACACGGGGTTGAGGACTTTGGGGCTTTCGTGCTGTAGACGCCCGCCAAGAAAGCGCCCAGAGCAGTCCCAGGCGCATGCCGAACTGCGTGACCATGGCCCGGGCCATTCGCTCCACCTCTGAGGGGTGGGCTATTGAGACTTTAGGGCTTTGTAGGGTTTAGGGTTTAGGGTTTAGGGTTTAGGGTTTAGGGTTAGGGTTTAGGGTTAAGGGTTAAGGGTTTAGGATTATCGGAATGTGGCGTTCGGGGTTTCAGATGCGTTCGGGGTTTCAGATGTTTCCGGCAGTAGGTGGCAAGGAAGGGGGTGTGGGGGGGGGGGGGGGGGTGGAGCAGTGAGAAGGTAAGACCTAAGCTGTAAACCGTTAGACCCAAAAACCTACTCCCCTATAAACCTTCGACCCTAAACGTCTGCAGGGCCAAAAGACCATGGGAATGCGAGGGTGTTGGAGTTTGTTCTTTAGGAGTTTGTTCTTTAGGAGTTTGTTCTTTAGGAGTTTGGGGTGTTCAAGCCCCACAAAACCCAGTCACCCTCAACCCTAAACCTAAAACCCTAATTAAACCTAAGCCCGAACCACCCCCCCTCGACCAAGCACAAGTCCGTATCATGACGTACACCCAAAAGCCCCAACCCCTAAACACTGAGCGCCCCGTTGAACAGCAGTTTTGGTTCCAGGTTCTGATAAATACGGTTTAGGGTTTATAGGGTTCAGGGTTTAGGGATAGGGGTTTAACTAGTGCTTACTTAGGCTTAGGGTACAGCTAGGGTTGAAGTGGTTCGGTTTTTTTAGTGTTCCGAAAGATGATCCTCTAAAACCCGATAGGGGAGAACATAAAACATCCCAGGGGGCTACCTACTAAACCCCTAACCCTAAACCCTGCAGAGAATATAAACATTCCAGGGGGCTACCTAGCCCGAAGCCCTAAACCCCAAACCCTAAACCCCAAACCCCAAACCCTAAACCCTAAACCCTAAACCCCAGTTAGGGTTGGGAGCTTTGGGGAAGCTGCTCGTAGGCGCACCTGCTGGAGATCACCGCCGGCGCCGGTGGTCACCTCTCTTCCCGATTCTTGAAGAGGCTTCTTCAGATTTCACCCTTTTGGGGGTTCCCTAAACCCTAAACCCCAAACCCAAACCCTAAACTGCATTTCTAGGTACACCCACTGCAGAACTGAGGGTTTAGGCCTGAACTCTCTAGCCCCTAAGAACCCCAAACCTTCTAAAGGTTTAACTTCAACGTGCCCCTTTTAGGGCCTGCGATTCTCTAAATGGTGGCCTCCCTCCCTTTTGGGTGCCCCCAAAAAGAAGTCTGTGTGTGTATATATATATGTATATATATATATACATATATTTGTTCTTTTATTTATGCATTTATTGTTTATTTCTCTATATATATATATATATCTTTCTTTCTTTCTTTATCTATTTCTTTCTATATTTACTCTATATTTAAGGAAGCCCGAAAGGAAGCGTAATTTGGAAGCTTTACGCTCTACGCCTTTCGGGGCTCAATGTCCCGGAGTGGCGCATGGAAGACAGCTCGGTGCAAGGGTTGGGGCTTGCAGGGCTTGTAGGGTTTACCTGAAACTCCCCCAAATTGCCCATATGAAACCCTAAACCCCAAATCCTAAACCCTAAACCCTAAACCCTAAAACCCTTGCTTCAGTCCGGGGCTGTAAGCCACGGGGGTACTTTGGGGGACGAACAGTCGGGAAGGAGTCTCCTTGGAGTGCCGATGGTCCAAGCTTTAAAGACCCCCAAATCCCTGAACTCACTGACTAAACCCTAAACCCTAAACCCTCAACCCTAAACCCTAAACCCTAAATCCTAAACCCTAAACCCTACACCCAACACGGAGGCCTCAACCGACCGCCTCGATGTGACCGAACAGGTCGTACCATGACTTTGAGGTGAGGCTTTTTCGGGGTGCCCCGAATCCTCCGCACAGTTTTTTGCTTTTGAGCCTAGGATGAAGTGTTTGGGTCACCAGAGCCTTTAGTTTTAGTAGGGTTCCGTGAGTACCCGCGATGAAACCCGAACTCCAAACTGGCGTACTTGCTCCGCAGGATATCGGAGACCCGCCTGGTCGGTTCCAAACACCTCAGAGTCAAACGAACCGATCGGAGGTCTACTCATGGGGGGTTTACGAAAATACGGGACCTCTAATATAGACCCCAAATAGTAGAAATCCCTTGATTAATACGGACCCCAATTAGGTACCCATAATTTCGGAGACCCCCTTATTGCAGGGAGTGGACCCATGTAGTCACCAGTCAGGGTTCCAGGATTCGGGCCTATACGGGTTTACGACAATCATACGGTTTCAGAGCTGTCAAGGGCTCTAGAGTAGTACTCTAGGTTAGCAAGTCCCTAAACCAAGACCCAAAAACTCGCGTAAGGGACTCATGGGCCTGTGGGTCAGGAACCCCTAACAAACCTCAAAAAGTCCCCTGAAAACGCAGCCTGGCGCCCTCTGCCCTAAACCCTCAACCCTAAACCCTAAAGCTCATCATCTCAAACCCTGGTTCCGCTGCCACGTCGCCAGCTGCTCAGCGGCACGGCCACCTCAGAGACGAGCAAGAGTTGGCTGTGGTGAGGAAGTAGGGGTTTTGGGATTCAGGTTTGGGGGTCATGGCTAAGGGATGTTTGTAGGGGGTTTAGGGTTCAGGGTAAAGGGCTGGGGTTTAGGGCTTCGGGGTGTAACTAGGGATTGGAGGTGTTTACCAGGACAGTTTTTGGGATTATGCTTTCAAACTGCACTGGGGTCAAATCTGTTCAATATATCTTTTGGAAAGGTTTTTATGAATATTTGGATCAATTACTTGGTTGGATCCTCGGAAGTTGATGTACAGAGTTTAGGGCTGATGGTATGAAATTCAATCAGCAAGCTTGCATGCGGTGCCAGTGCCCTTCGTGATCATTATCTCAGAATTTGGAGGGAGTGCTGCAATAGCAAGGGTGTGTTTCGAAAAAAACTGCGAACATGTCTGAAGTAAATTAATAGCGACTCTATTCAGGTGACTTCATTCAAGTTTTTGTTGGTTGCGGGGCGGAGAATCGAAACAATGCACCCAGGAAAGGCTCTCCTGTGACAACTCAGCTGGATTCAGGGGCTATGGGCTTGGAACCCAGAAGTCTTTCAGGGTTATTTTCGGGTTTAGGGTCTAGCCATACTCCCCTTAGAACCTTACTAAAAAAACACACTTTCGACGTACCCTTGATCAACATGTAAGAAAATCGTATGGAGGTTGTAATTATTGTGTCCTGAATTCTTCTCAGGTCTGGGGTTTAGGATTTAGGGTTTAGGGTGTAGGGTTTAGGGTTTAGGGTTTATTTAGGGTTTAGGGTTTCGGGATTAGGTTTTAGGGATGAGGCTTGGCGAATTTCTGGCCAGGCAGCCCAGTGCCCCGGCGATGCGGGCCTTGAGCATGGCGGCGGAGATCAAGCTCTGATCCTGCGCAGGTAGGGTTTAGGGTTTAGGGTTTAGGGTTTAGGGTTAAGGATTAAGGGTTTAGGGTTTAGGGTTTAGGGTTTAGGGTTTAGGGAAATTCCACAGCAAGGTGGGGTGGGGCCTAAGCGGCTTTGCGTTCAAGAGGTTGTGTGGAATCAATATCAGTACTGCTTCACTAAAAGTTATTCCTGGTAATGGGCCATTTACAGGAGTTAAGTTTGAGGGGTTCTACTTGGTTTGGGGTAAAGCTAATTGGGTGCTGTGGGTCGTGGATTTCGGATCTTACCACATGGCGTGCCCCTCCTGAACCCAAACCTCAGTCTGTGTCAGGGAAGCTTTTGTCGTCTCGGGCTGGGACGGGGGGGGGGGGGTGAGGTTATCCAGGGTGGGGGGGGGGGGGACGGGGGCAATCTCACAGGGAGCGTCTGGGAGCAGGGCTCAGGGCACTTTTGGGCCAAAATAGCGCAGCGGAAAGCAGCGTCCTCGCCGGGCGTGAACCACGTCAGGCCCTTGGCCTGGGACGGGAGCCAGGAGTCGGAAAGCGCATAGAAGTGCAAAAACCGCGAAGAGCTTGCCACCGAGGCAAAGTTGCGCAAACAAAAGCAACAAAAACCCCGAAACCCGAAACCAGAAACCAGAAACCCCTACAAGCCCAAAAAAACCCGAAACCCTAAACCCTAAACCCTGAACATTAAACCCTAAACCCTAATCCCCCCAAACCCTAAACCCTAGACTGTTTGGGATGTTCAAGCCCATACCGCAGTGGCCTGGCCGCGGGGGATCAGCGTCACCTTGTTGACTGGGTCGTGGTACCTGAGTGCCCACTTAGATAAAGTGCCCAGAAACTCAGCAGCTTAGACCCTAAACCCTAAACCCTAAACTTACCCTACAACCCTAAAGCCTCCAAAACCCTAAAGCCTCTAAAACCCAGCACCCTCAACCCTAAGCCCTAAACCCCTAAACCCGCTAAGCCCTAAACTCCTGGTCCTGCCTTTGAGCCCAGAGTATTTCTAGGCTTGAGGGGTTTGGGGGGTTAGGGTTTTAGGGGTTCGGGGTTCCCCTAAACCCTAAACCCCAACCCTAAATCCTAAAAACCTTTTTTGTTTTCGGTGCAGGGTTAGGTATACCTTCCAACTATGCCCACAGCAGTTGAAATCAAGGTGCAAGAGTCCAAGTATTCCAGCACATGCCAAGCAAAGGGTCGAGGGTTTAGGGTTTAGGGTTTAGGGTCTAGAGTTTAGGGTTTAGGTTCATAGTTTCTACAAGATAAGGAAGCCCAAGAGAAAACAGTAACTCCTGTCGACACTTGCAGGGCATACCTGAGCCACGAGTTATCTCCGTCGTCTAGGCTTACTTCGGAGGGCGAGAACACATAGCACAAGCAAGCATCCAAAACATGTCGGCCCATGCCTGGGCGTAAGGAATTGAGAGAAGAGCCGTTAGAATCCCGGACAGTGACCCCACATATCCCAAGGGGTCCCTAGGTTACGCAGTAAACCCTAAACCCTAAACACTAAACCCTAAACCCTAAACCCCAAGCCCTATGTCCTATAAGTCCTAGGCTCTGAACCCTAATTGCACCCAAGACTTCCTCTGCCATCGGGCAACGGGAGCAGTGTTCCGACAATGGCGTGCCCGGCCTCGTGGTAGGCCTCGGCAGCAAGAGACGTAGGGTCTCGGGTTTAGGGTTTAGGGCTTATAAGGGTTTAGGGTTTATAAGGGTTTTGGGTTTCGGGTTTAGGGTCTAGGGTTAAGGGTTTAGGGTTTAGAAGGGTTTAGGGTTTAGGGCTTCGGATGAAAGGGGGACGGGAGGTTGGACACAGGGAGGCTTCTAGAAACCAGACACGTGACACTCGTGCAATCTTCAAGCACTGTTAATACCTGTAACGACTCAATCCTCTAGTGGATGAGGCCAGAGGGCGCCAGGTGCAAACAGCATTCAGACGAGATAAGCCCGAAACCCCATAAACCCTACACCCTAAAACCCTACCCTCAGCAGACCCTGAATCAAACATCCGAAAGCCCAAGCCCTAAACCTCTAAACCCTCAGCCCCTGAACCCCGAACCCCCAAACCCTGAACCCCTAAACCCCTAAACCCTAGCCCTAAACCCTAAACCCCTCTGTAAACCCCTAAGCAGGTCCTAAGAACCCCCAAAGAAACGGAGGCAAAGTCGCGATGAGCTTCTTGGCCGCGTTGTCCGCCAAGGCGCGGCCCTCAAGGCCCGCGATGACCTTTGGGCGGGTTCGGGTCGCTTGGGGGGGGTTTATATAGGGGTTTAGGGTTGAGAGGGTCTAGGGTTAGGGTTTAGGGTTTAGGGTTTAGGGTTTAGGGTTTAGGGTTTAGGGTTTAGGGTTTAGGGTTTAGGGTTTAGGGTTTAGGGTTTAGGGTTTAGGGTTTAGGGTTTAGGGTTTAGGGTTTGGGTTTAGGGTTTAGGGTTTATGGTTGGGGGTTCAGGGGTTTGGGGTTCGGAGAGTTTAGGGTTCTGAGGGCTGTTCGGGGGGTTTGGAGGGTTTGGAAGGTTTAGAGGGCTTACAGGGCGTGGAGTTCGGGTGAAGTCGCAGGAGGCACGTTGATGGTGGCGACTGTGAAGCTGCTTCAAGATGAAGGTCACGATTTTAGGGTTTAGGGTTTAGGGTTTAGGGTTTAGGGTACAAAGCAGTCGGCCTCGCAATTCCTGTGTTGCGTCTCCGAGCACATGGGGAGAGCAGAAGGTTCTGAAGATTCTGAAAAGTCCATATATGAGCGTCATGTCTTGACACGTCCTTTGAATCACGCTCCCTGACGCAACACCAAGTGAGCTGTCAGCACAGACAGATTCTCGCCCTGCACAACTAACCGAGTTGGGCTGCTGGGGTGGAGCAAAAGGGTCTATGTTGTTTATGAATATGTTGTTTTTGTTGTTCGGGGGGGGGGGGGGGGGTTGTAAGGTTCCGGGTTTGGGATATTGGGGTCAGGGTTCCCCCTACGCCGGTGAAGGCTCCAAGAACATTTGGAGAAACAAAGGGATTGCGCCTTCTTTGTTTGGGCAGGGGGGACTCAGGCGGATGGAACCGAGATTTTTGATGACGTCGGACTAAACCCCAAACCCCAAACCCTAAACTCCAAACCCCAATCCCTAACCCCAAACCCCAAACCCCAAACCCTAGACCCTAAACCTCCTCAACCACAAGTCCTAAACACCAGACCCTAAACCCGAAACCCTAAACCCCAAACCCGAAACCCTAAACCCTAAATCCCAAACCCTAAACCCCAGCCCCCTAAACCCTAAACCCAGATCCTAGGGCAGGAACCGCGCCAGGACCTAAAAGCCATATAGCCTCGGTCCAACACTGCAAAACCGAGATACGCGGTCCGTGGCGTCGTTGATCTCATCCATGCTGATGGCCTCACAGTTGAATGTCTTCTCAATCTGGGGGGGGGGGGGGGGATTGTGGTGAACCGAGGTCGGGTTGTGTGCTTGACAAATAGAAAGCACGCACACACCAAACACACACACACACATTATATATATATATATATGTATGGAATATTTGTTTACATTTTAAGATATATATATATATATATTTGACTATCTAGTTTATGTTTCATGATACGGTCCAAAGCTTCCGGTTTGTCGGGCTTTTGGGTAAAACCCTGAGCAGCATGTTCTGTAAGATTCTGAAAGCCGGGCAAACCCCAAACCGTAAAACCCAAACCCCAAACCCTAAACCCCTAAACCCTGAACCCCAAACCCTGGACCATAAATCCTAAAGCCTACTGAAACCCTCCCTGTGGAACCTTTGCAGGGGGAACTTAGGGTTTACTTTGGGATTGCAAGGGTGTCGTGCAATCCCCTAAGGGCTTAGCAACATGTCCTCGACTACGAAGAAAAAGCCAAGCACTCTGACTAATTCCTTCAAGCCCGAAGACCCTAGACCTCTGTAGATCCTAAACCTTAAGCACGCCCTAACACCAACATTAACTTGAAGCCCATACCGTACCCTAAGCCTAAACCCCCTTAAACCCCAACACCCCAACCCCTAACCACCAAACCCTAAACCTCAAACCCTGCAGTAAACCCCAAACTCCATACCCCAAACCTTACACCCCAAATCCCAAGCCCCTAACCCTAAACAAACAACCCTAAACCCTAAATCCCTAGCCCTAAACCCTAAACCCCCACTTCCTGACCCCAAACCCCAAACCCTAAACCCCAAACTTTAAGTGAACCAAGCCCTGTCCCGGCCTTCTTGTTGCGGCGGGCTGCCCTTGGTGCATGGGGCTTAGGGTTTAGTGCTTGGCTTGAGAATGAGGGGTTTGTGTTCCCCTATTCCTGAACCCCTACTTACTTCTCCAATAACCAAGGGTAAAAAGGTTAAGCTTTTTTTATTCCTACTAAATAAGGAAACCCACAAATTTAAAGTTCAGCTGTTGGAGAAGTAAGCCTACCTCAAAGGAATCAACATGGGGTTTGGGTGTGGAATTCGAGTTGCTGGTGCTGGTATTTGTGCTCCGTGTCATCATGCGACCAGATTCTCGGTACCCCATTCAGGGGGACCATGCCAGGCATGTGAAGCTGCTGGTTCTTATCATGGGATTCGGCCGGACAGGCGGAAGCCTAAACCCTAAACCCCAAACCCTAAGCCCTAAACCCTAAACCCTAAACCCTAAACGGCCCTAAACCCTAAACCCAAATCCCTAAGCCTAAACCCTAAACCCTAAACCCTAAACCCTCTCCAAGGGCCGGTGACATGGTCCCTGAATATGGTGCCTCTCCCTTTCACAGGGCATGCTGAAGCATGGACCTCTGGGTTGCACTGGGTTTAGGGTTTAGGGTTTTAGGGTTTAGGGTTTAGGGTTTAGGGTTTAGGGTATGAAGCGCCCACACTAAGGGACCATGGAACTACCCTTGACCCTCACGAGCTCCAGATCCCGAAACCTCAAACCCCAAACCCCAACCCCTAAACTTCCCAAACCCTGAACCCTAAAATGCCCAAACTTCCTAAACTTCCTGAACCCTAAACCCCAAACCCTAAACAGTAAACCCTAAACCCTAAACCCTAAACCCTGGACTCACAGGTGCTGCGCTCTTCTGCCCAGGAACAGGATGGCCGACTCGTTCATGAGGTTCTCGAGGTCTGCGCCGGAGAAGCCTCGAAAAAAGATAGGGTTTAGGGTTTAGGGCTTAGGGCTTGGGGCTTAGGGTTTAGGGGTGCAGGGTTTGGGGTTTAGGGTTTGTTTTGGCAGTGCTAGGGTTTGCGTTTGAGGGTTTAGGGCTTTTAAGGCTCTATCCAAACCCACGTCTCCCTCTATTTCAGACCTCCGCCCCTGAAGGCAAAAGCCATGGCAGCAAAGACTACCTCTAACCCTAAACCCTGAACCCTAATCCCTAAACCCCTCACCCTCCACGTTCCCGCCGTTGGACAGATTACCCCCTCCTTTTCCCCCACCCAACCTCCCTTCCCTTCAGTTTTTCCGCTGACAGCTGCTTTTGCACCAACAAGAGGGTTGTTGGAAACAAGTATGCTAACCCAGAGGGTCATTTATTATGGAATTAGTTACTCCAAAACCCTGTTTAGTATGGTTGTTGACTACCTATATTCCATGGTAGCATTAGTTACAAATGGACCCTCTGGGTAACTAGGTGAGGCTGCCTAGAACACAATGCAGGTCGCCTGAAGACCTAGGTATCACTAGAAAAATGAGGGCCAATACTTCGGATCCGCATAAACAAGAGTAAGGGACCCTACTCAGGGCCCAGGCCTTAGAAGCAGGTCTTCGATTCTAGGGCATTTCTTTATGCCCTGTGACATCCCTATCCTGTGGTACCATGATTTCCCTGAAGCTCACGATTACTCTACCTGAAGGGACATGGGGCTCGCAAACCCTGTGTAATTCCTTGTGAACCCTATACTAACTTCATACTTTTCGGAGTCGGGGGTTAGGGTTCAGGGGTGTGGGGGTTTGGGGGTTTCGGGAGTTTGGGGGCCTAGAGGTTTAGGAGTTTACAGCTTAGGGTCTACGAGCCAGGAAGCCTGCCGTCCGCTTGGCGATGTCCATGAGTGTGATCTCGCCATCAAGCTTCCTCAGCGTTGCTGCGGTTAAGGGCTCCGGTTCTCCTAGGCGTAGTTGGCTTCGGGTTTAGAGCAACCAGCCCCAAAGCCCCTTCCCCAGTCCTACTACCCCGAAGAGACCTTCGGCGTCCAGCAGAGCCACCTGAAACCTGTGCAGCCCCTGGAGAACCATCACTGCTCCGAAGCCCCTTGCATCTGCTTTCATCATGGACTCCACGTCGACTACCCACAGTGAGGCCCAAAATAGGGCTCGTTATACGGGAAGTGGGGCCATGGACGCATGGGGGGTAGTATAGGATCCCAGTAGCCTTTAAGCCCTTTTGGAGGAGCCCTTTTGAGCCAAGGAGCTTGTTCTTGACGTGGACCTGCTCAGGGCGGCCGCACGACAGGAATAAGGCAAACAGTTAGGGTTTAGGGTTTAGGGTTTAGGGTTCAGGTTTTAGGCTTTAGGGTTTAGGGTTTAGGGTAACAGAGTGAGAGGCTGAACACAACACAGTCTCTAAGGCCTCTTATGGGAAGAACGGAGCCATGCTAAGGGAATTCGGGGCTACATGTCGTCCTCGGCAGTTGCCATGTTGGATGCTCAAGGTGGAAAAGGCGGAGGATGACGTGGTGCACTTCTCTACAGGGTTTTGTAGGATTTTACAGGGTCTTGTAGGGTTTACAGGGTTTTGTATGGTTTCATAGGGTCTTGCAGTGTTGTATAGGGTATTTCAGGGGGGGGGGGGGGGGGCCTTCTTTCTGGAGGGTGCCAGGCTTAATTGAACAAGGCTTCTGCCTCAAGCCTAAACCCTAAACCCTAAACCCTAAACCCCAAACCCTAAACCCTAAAACCTAAACCCTAACCCTCAGCCCTAAACCCTTTCGATGCTTGGAGCCCTGGAGGACGTCGGAAATAGGCGGTGAGGCAACGAGGTCTCTTATCAAGTCTCCAGGTCGCGAGTAAACTAGGGTTCAGGGTTCAGGGTTCAGGTTTCAGGGTTTAGGGTCTAGGGTTCAGGGTTCAGGGTTTAGGGTTTGCCAGGCACTGCAACCATGGTAGCATCCTCACCGAAGTCTTCCCCAAACTCACACAGGGTCGCGCTCCAACCTCAAGCCCCAACCCTAAGCCCTGAAACTCCTCAACCCTGAACTTTGACTCAATCCTAAACCCTAAGCCCCAAACCCTAAACCCGAAAACCTAAACCCCAAATCCTAAACCCGAAACCCTAAACCCTAAACCCTCAACCCGAACAACCCTCAACCAGACAAAGGCAAAACTGCCTCCAGAATCTGCGCGCGGCCCTTGACGTCCGGCAGACCGACCTCTACACTCGACACGCTCCAACATGGGGGGGGGGGGGGGGGGGGGGGGGGTAGTAGGGGGTTGTAGTACAGGGGCTTGTAAGGGTTGTAGGGGGTTTCGGGTGTAGGGTTTAGGGTTTAGGGGCGTAGGGGCGTAGGGGGTTAGGGTTAGGGTTTAGGGGCTTAGGGTTTTTGAGGAATGAGAATTTCAGGGGTCTGGGCCTGCACTCGTCGATCGAAGCGGCCCGGCCGCAGCAAGGCGTTGTCGAGGATGTCCGATCCTTGTGGTTTTTGGACTTGGACTTGGGGTTCGCAGTTTAGGATTTGGGGTTTAGGGGGTTTAGGGTTCAGGGTTTAGGGTTTAGGATTGAGGGTTTAGGGTTTAGGGTTTGGGTTATAGGGTTCAGGGTTTGGGGTTTAGGGTTCAGGGCCCTATGAACCACGGACCCTGTAAGTCCTGTAAGCCCTGAAGCCCTCGACAATATGAATCCTGTAATCCCCCGAAGTTTTGACAATATGATGACTTCAAGGGGTTTGTTCGTCTGAAAGCTGCTGGCAAGTTGCTGTTGGTGGCCGCAACGACAATGACGCCGCTGTTGCCTGGGGGTGCTTCTCACACGCGGAGGGTTGCCGGGCGTGCTTCCGTGCCATAGATAGACGAGGCCGGCCCCATGGACAAGACACACGGCTCATGATGGAGCTGGCAGGATACCCTAAAGCTCCCAGAGCCTAGACCCTAAACCCTACTATGTTGCCAAACCTCAAAACTACCGGCCAAAGCCACTGACAACTGGCAACAAATCAACAGTATGTGGGGGTTTCGGGCTTCTTCAGGGCTTAGGCTTGGGGTGTAGGCTAGAAGGGTTTAGGGTTCTAGGACTTCAGATGTGCTTGTAAAACAAAGGAACTGATGGCTTATGGTGTAGGGGTTCAGGGTTTGGGGCATTAACTAATTCAGGGTTTAGGGTTCAAGGCTCGGGGGTTTATGCTGATAATCTACCCAAAGGGTCCTGAGTACCTACATAGTAGAAAGTAGGGTTTCCATAATAGGAATTGCTATTATGGTTTGGGTAAGAGTCCCCCATATAGGTACTTAGGACCTTTTGGGCTAGTTCGGAGTTTAGGGGTTCTCTGTCTCGCGCGGACCTTCGAAGCCATCCATCTCCGTGAGGATCTGATTCAGCGTCTGCTCCTCGATTTAGGGTTTAGGGTTTAGGGTTTAGGGTTTAGGGTGTAGGGTTTAGGGTTTAGGGCTTAGAATTGTTGAACAAAACACTTAGGGTTTAGGGCTTAGAATTGTTGAACAAAACACTCAAAAAACGCGAGCCGAATCAAGTCCAATACCAACAAGGTAGGGTTTTTGTTGCTCGCCTTCCCAAAGGACCCCCAAATGCATACACTCAACGGTGTATACTGTTACAGCAAAGACAGAAATAGAAACCCTATCCATCCAGCAAAACAGGCCTAAACACCTAAAACCCCTACGCCCTCATATTCTAACCCAAAGACCCTCAACCTCAAATTCTAAACCCGAGAAGAAGGTGGCCTGCAGCAAGACAATATCCTGCAAAGCTCATTGCGGCTGTCGTGTTCTCTGGGCTTTGGAGGGTTTCGGGCTAGGAGGGTTTAGGGTTTCAGGGTTCAGGATTTAGGGCTAAGGGGTTAGGGTTTCAGGGTTTAGGGCTTCAGGCTTGATAAGGGATATTTCGGGGGCTTAGCATGTTCCTTTACTTACCTCTGCAAAAGGTTAAGCTTTATTATTCCTATGAGATAAGACAGCCCAAAACCTCTTAAGTTAAACCCTAAACCCTGCACCCTAAACCCTAAACTCACCCCCTGGGTCGAAGCCCAGCCGCACGCTCGTCGTTGCCGCCGCCCATGCCGGCTCCACGCTGGCGTCCAATGGCATCCTCAGCCACTTGGGCTTAGGGTTTAGGGTTTAGGGTTTAGGGTTCAGGGTTTAGGGTTAGGGTTTAGGGTTTAGGGTTTAGGGTTTAGGGTTCAAGGTTTAGGGTTTAGGGCTTAGCATTTAGGGTTTAGGGTTTAGGATTTAGGGTTTAGGGGTTTAAGTGAGGGCTAACATGTAGGGTTTACGGCGGTTTTTTAGTCTACAGGCAGGGTTGACGTCTGAAGTGGGCTTTTGGGCACCCTGTCAACGGAATCCTCAGCGGCTTTCCCAGATTCGCTGTTCTAACAATGTAAGGGCTCATGCTTTTAGGGTTTACCCTAAGCCTAAACCTAAACGCCTAAAGCCCTAAACTCTAAACCCTAAATAGGGTGTGCAGACAAAAGGAGACTTTTGGGTTCAGGTTCGGTATCTAGGACTTACGTAGGTTTTTGGGGCACCTTGTCAATGGAGGAGATGTATCGCCCGAGGGAACAGAAGGTAAGGGACGGCACAAACCCTAAACCCTAAACCCTAAACCCTAACCCTAAACCCTAAAAACCCTAAACCCTAAACCCTTTAGGGCTCAGGGCTTAGGAGGGTTAGAGCTGGCAGACTGTCGCAACTTGGCTTGTACGGCAGCAAACAAAGACACAAGGCCTAGCTTCTCATTGGCCGCCCAGCCTCCTTCTGCAAAAGATGGCAAACATGCAGAAATCTACAACCCTAAACCCTAAACCCTAAACCCTAAACCCTAAACCCTAAACCCTAAACCCTAAACCCTAAACCCTAAACCCTAAACCCTAAACCCTAAACCCTAAACCCTAAACCCACACACGCAGGCTTGGGCTTTCAGGGAACGCGGCGAAATCGGCCAGTGGGAGTCAGAAGCCTATACGGCTAGTCCAAAGACTCCAATAGCCCTAGAGCAAGGAATGCTCTAGAAAAAGTTTTCGGAACCCTTAGAGAACTGAAGGAAATATTCCTTCTCGGGACGGGTAAATTGGGCTTCCCAAATCAACCATATAAAGGACCTTGAAGAACAAACTATATTGGCCAGAAAGAAACTCTGTAAAAGAAAAGGTTCCTAGAAAACCCTCAAGATCTAAATATCAGCTAAATGGGTGGTTGTCAAAATTATGATCCCTTTTGGGGTACCCTAAATATTAGGTGCCGTATTATAATAGGGATCCAAAAAGGGACCATAATTTTGACAACCACCCATATAATCCCTGCTCCATATCAGGTCCCAAGGGTCGATCTCGTCGATGAAAACGATGCACGGCGCCTTCCTTGGCCAGTGCACGGGATGCCCCTGAGCCCCCCCAGACCCTGAAACCATACAGCCCCCAAAACCCTAAACCCTAAACCCCAAAACCCTAAACCCTAGCCCTAAACCCTAAACCCTAAACCCTAAACCCTAAACCCTAAACCCTAAACCCTAAACCCTAAACCCTAAACCCTAAACCCTAAACCCTAAACCCTAACTCCCCCTCAAGGCCCAAACCCTACTAACACGCGCAGTCCCCAAAGCCCGAAACCCTCTCAACCCCAAGCCTGTATTCCGACAGGTTTAGGGTTTGGTGGCTGTTTAGGGTTTAGGGTTTAGGGTTTAGGGTTTAGGGTTTAGGGTTTAGGGTTTAGGGTTTAGGGTTTAGGGTTTAGGGTTTAGGGTTTAGGGTTTAGGGTTTAGGGTTTAGGGTTTAGGGTTGAGAAAGAGGACAGCTCAAAGGCCTCCGAGCCTCTCCTTGACAGACAGAAACTTAAACCCCTTCCCCCACAAACTCTAAACTGCCGAAACCCTGAACCCAAAAACCCTAAAACCCTTAACCTTTAAACCCTCAACGCCAAACAGGGACTAAGGACTGTTAGCAGAAGGGGGAACATCCCAACCCCAAACCCCAAACCCCAAACCGCAAACCCTAAACCTCAAACCCCAAACCCTAAACCCCAAACCCTAGTGCCTCCAAGCCTCTCCTTGGCCTGCTTGAAGATGTCGCGCACGCGCGAGGCGCCCACGCCGACGAAGAGCTCAATGAACTCTGAGGCTGAAGACCTTTGATTAGGGTTTAGGGTTTAGGGTTTAGGGTTTAGGGTTTAGGGTTTAGGGTTTAGGGTTTAGGGTTTAGGGTTTAGGGTTTAGGGTTTAGGGTTTGGATTTGGATTTGGGTGGTTCTCTAAATTCGGGTCCCCTTTTGGGGGGTCCTTTGAAAAATGCTCCCAAGCAAAATAGGGACCCAAAAAGGAGACCAAATTTAGAGAGCTGCTAATTTGCAGTTTGGGATACTAGGGTTTGTCGGGCTTAGGAGACTTGTCCAACATGTGTTTGTTGTGCTCGCTCGCTTTTTATGTTACATGCCTTCTTGTTCAGGGGTTTTCCGTTTCAGGGCATATTGACAACTTGGGCGCTGTCAGTCAAGGGCTAGAAGGGCTAGGGTTTAAACCCTATAAACCCTAAACCCTAAACCCTAAACCCTAAACCCTAAACCCTAAACCCTAAACCTTTAGGCTTGCACACATGGTTGTATACACAATCACGGGTGATGCGGGCAGCTGGCTGCTCCCGAGTCGCTGAATGAAGGGCACGCCCGACTCACCGGCCAGGGCCTGTGCCCAGAAACCCCAGACCCTGGAACCCTGAACCTATACCGAACTTGAATAGGTTTAGCGGTAGAAGCACAAACCCTAAACCCTAAACCCTAAACCCTAAACCCCAAAGACCCTAGTGGCTTAGGCTTCGGCTGGCGGGCCTTGTGTCTTAGGGCTGGCTTTTCGCCGCCTTATCATGTACTCATTGTCATTCCTGTGGAAACATGGCAACCCGAAACCCCTAAACACTGAACCCCAAAGCAAACCCTTAAGTTCCAAAACCCTACCCCCCCCCCCCCCCCCCCCCCAATTCCTAAGATGCCTGCGCCCTCAACCCCAGTTCCCGTTAGGACCTCATGTGGTATAGGACACCTTAACCCCTAAACCCTAAACCTTAAACCCTAAACCCTAAACCCTTTTCCCTCTTCCATCTTCCCTCTTCCCTAAACCCTAAGGGCATCTCCGGCAAGTGCCAGTCGTGCCATTCTCGGGCCCTTTGAGGTTCAGGGCTTAGGGTTTATAGGGTTTAGGGTTTAGGGTTTAGGGTTTAGGGTTTAGGGTTTAGGGTTTAGGGTTTAGGGTTTAGGGTTTAGGGTTTAGGGTTTAGGGTTTAGGGTTTAGGGTTTCGTGTCTCCAGTTTCTGGAACCAGGGCTTTTCTTTGGGCTTGTGCCTTGGGCGCTTAGAAATGCCCCAAAGGCCCTAAAGTGTAGACCTCCCTAAAAAGCAGCCCGGAAACTTGAAAATTCTCACCTAGAACGCATGCCTTTTCGAAACTGAAACGCCTAACCCCCGTAAACCCTGAACCCTGAACCCTAAACTCTAAACCCTAAACCCCCGAAAGCCTACACCCACAACCGTCGTCCGCCTTGGCCATCAGCGTCTTTCCTGTGCCCGGCGGGCCCGTCAACAGCACGCCGCGGGGGATCTTGGCGCCCACCTCTGCGGAGTTTCGGGTTTTGGGTTTCGGGCTATACATGCAAGAGCTCAACCTTAACACGTTGAACCCTGAACTCTAAACCCCTAAACCCTAAACCCTCTGTTAACTACTTCTAGGCCATCTACAGAGGGTACCGGCTCCTTTTTAAGGGAGACACCTGAACCTCAAGTCCTGAAATTCTAAACCCCTACATAAAAAACATTCACCCCCCCCCCTAAAAATTAAAAAAAAAACTAAACTGTAAACCCGAAACCTGAAACCCGAAATCCTAACAACATAAACACAAATCCGGCCCCGGAAATCCGTGCCCAAGCAGTCGGCGGCCTTCACGAACCTCTCCGGCACTTTCAGGAAGTCCTAAACCCTGAGCCCTGAACCCAAAACCCAAAACCCTGAACCTTAAACCCTAAACATCCCTCCCAAGAAGTCGGCGGCCTTCACGAACCTCTCTGGGGCTTTCAGGAAGTCCACAATCTCCATAAGCTCCTCTTTCGCCTCCGGGGGTTTAGGGTTTAGGGTTTCTAGGGTTTAGGGTTTAGGGTTTAGGGTTTAGGATTTAGGATTTAGGGTTTAGGGTTTCAGTGTTTAGGGTTTGGGGTCTTTGGGGAACTCGGAGGAGCTCAGGGTGGGCTTGGGCCCAAACCCTCAACCCTAACTTTTACCCTGAACCCCAGACCCTAAACCGGAACCGCTAAAGCAGAAACCCGAAACCCTAAACCCTAAACCCTAAGCCCTAAACCCTAAGTCCTAAACCCTAAACCCTAAACCCTAGCCTCGTCGATGCCGGCCACGTCCTCGAACTTAACGCCGGTCTCAGGGGTGATCCTCAGCTATGAGACTGCTGTGAGAGAAGGACGAACAGACTCCTTATTCTTACCTGGTTCTTCTTAGGATTTAGGGTTTCGGGTTTAGGGTTAGGGTTTAAGACTTAGGGTTGAAGGTGCAAGGGCTTTAGTTCCCTTATCCTCCGCTGCGATAAACCCGAAACCCTAAACCCCAACCCTAAAACCTAAAGTGCCAAGCCCCCAAACCCTAAACCCGCTAAACCCTAAGCCCTACCCGCCTCAGAAAGCCCCAAACCCCAAACACTAAACCCTAAACCCCAAACCCTAAACCCTAAACCCCACCAATGCCCCAACAAGGGGCATGATCTTGGCCTGGCCCTGGTTGCCAAATCCAGGGATGCCGCCCCCACCGGGGGCCCGGGAGCGCAGGAAGAGGAGGCCTGACGAGGGTTCGGGGGGTTCTGGGGGTTTAGGGTTTAGGGTTCAGGGTTTAGGGTTTAGGGCTTGGGGTTTGGGGTTTGGGGTTTGGGGTTTGGGGTTTGGGGGGGGGGGGGGGGGGGGGGGACTGTTGGGAGTTGTTTGTGGTTTTGGGTTTTTGGATTGCTTATGTTCTGGGGTTTCTGTTGTTGCTTTTATTGTTTAGCTTAGTTGTTTTTGGTGTTTTTGCTTTGGGGGGGCTTGGGGGTTTGGAGGTTGTCAGTTGTGTGTGTGTGTGTGTGTGTGTGTGTGTGTGTGTGTGTTTGGGGTTTTGGGTGCTTTGGGGGTTTGCTCTTGTGTTTTTTCTTTTTGCTTTTTGGTGTTTAGGATTTTGGGGGTCTCTTGGAGTTGTTCTTTTTTTTTTTGGGGGGGGGGGGGGGGTTAAGGGTTTGATGGTGAGGCTTTGGGGTGGAGGGTTGATAGGGGCTTTAGATTTTGGGTTGAGGGTTTATAGGGAGTTTAGGGGTTGAGAATTTGGGGGTTGAGGGTTTGTAGGGTTTAGGGGTTGAGGGTTTGGGGGCTGAGGGTTTACAGGATCTAGCGGTTGAGGGTTTATGCGTCGAGGGATTGAAGGTTTGTAGGGTTCAGAGGTCGAGGGGTTACGGGCTAAGCTTTTAGAGAGTTGGGGCTTATGAGGGTGTAGGGTTTGGGGCTTAGGGTGTGGGGGTGTTAGGGTTTAAACACCTGGTGATTTCCCAACTCTGCGAAATCCGCCGAGGCCTCGGGCCGGAGGTGTATAGGTTGTCAGAACAGGCACCCCCCTCCAAATCCTCCCCCCCCTCCCAAAGCCCTTTTTCAGACCCCTTTTTTTGCCTCAAATGGGTACCCTTGCTGGGAAACCGGGGTCCGCAAGCGGACGGTTCGCCAGGACCAGAGGCAGTTGAAGCCCCTCCCAGCAGGACCCCCACGCTACCCCCCCCCCCCCCCCCCCCCCCCCCCCCCCCCCCCCCCCCCCCCCCCCCCCCCCCCCCCCCCCCCCCCCCCCCCCCCCCCCCCCCCCTTTGAGGGGCTTGCAACCCACCCCAAAAAAACCCCAAAGCTTGAGCCCTAAGCCCTCAATCCTAAACTAACCCTCAACCCTAAACCCCAAACCATAAAACAATAAACCCGGAACCCTAAACCCTAAACCCAACCCTTATTGCTTGGGGTCCAGCGACTTGGGCGCTGTGGAATCACCATGCTCACGTGGATGCGCTGGGCCGGGCCGAGGCGGGTCGCGTAGCGTTAAAATTAGGGATCCTACAGTTTAGTGTTTAAGGTGAGGGTTTAGGGTTTAGGGGCTTAGGGAATAGCATGTCCACTCCCAATAGGGCGAAATTAAGTCAGGGACTCACCTGAAGACTGTCCTGTGTTTGTTTGGGTGTTGTACTAGACGCAAGAATAACCTAGGAGAAAAAAAGTGCCCTTTGTGGTTTAGAGGGAATTTTAAGTCTTAAGGGAACCTAAACCCTAAAAAGGAAATCAGTGCCTACTCCGGGTCCTAGAAACCCTAAGCCCCTGAGAGCCGCCCCAAGTACTCAATGCCATCCAGTTCAGGCTTTTCCCGGCCTCTTTTTTGGTGTAGTGCTTCGGGCTCAGAGGTACACACCCTAAACTTCGGGGTGTTGAGGGTTTACGGGTTTAGGGGTCTAGTGTCTAGGGTTTAGGGTTTGTCCCACAGACCGCACGCCCAGGACATGTCGTTCCACCTGGGTTTAGGGGTTAGGAGAAGCTCGAAACCCTAAACCCTAAACCCTAAACTCCAAACTTTAAACCCTATAAACCCTAAACTCTAAACCCTAAACTCTAAACCCTAAACCCTAAACTCCAAACCCTAAATCCGCTCAGCTCAACGATATTGCTGCCCGGGAGGCCGGCGATCAACAGCAAGGGCAGTGCGACGTCACCCAGGACGTTGAAAATCGGATTCGGCTTCTCCTTGGCGTTAGGGTTTAGGGTTTAGGGTTTAGGGCTTAAGGTTTAGGTTTTAGGGTTTAGGGTTCCAAGCTCTGGCGGTCAAACCTTAAACCCTACTGAAGTTCGGGTATAGGGCTTGTGGGGATTGTTTTCCATAAGGAGCGTGTCATACACTCACCAAGACCCCATTACATGCATCTGCCCTATCTATACGTAAGGACTTTGTGTCGCTTGGTCCCAGACTGGGCCTACCGGGGCTTTGTAGGGTTTATTGGGTCTTGGGCAGGTTGCAGCTTGGTTTAGGTTTTGGGGCTTAGGGATTTGAGTTCAAATCGTGCGGGTCCCTTCGTCCAGGATCTGAACCCCAACCATGAAATCTAAACCCTGAGCCCTGACAACCGTAACCCTGAACACCCAAACCTATACTAAACCTTGCTGTTTCTGAGGGATTATAGTACCCAACAAAAAGAAACAAAAAAACAAACTAAGAAACCCATGCCGCCCGGCCACAGGCTGGTGGACCTCAATCAAAACGCCCTTGGCCGTGAGCTTCTCAACGAGGCCTGTCGGAGTGGCCCGTTTGGGGCTTTATTGGGCTTAACCCTAAACCCTAAACCCTAAACCCTAAACCCTAAACCCTAAACCCCTAACCCTAAACCGTAAACCCTAAACCCTAACGGTTAGGGCTCAGGGGGTAGCTTCTTGGAGCTTAGGGTTTGGGGACGACACAGGGATTTAGGAGCATTTGCAGCTACCTGAGCAGACTAAATGTACCCCTCCAACTGAAATCGCGTGCCCTTATCCAAAACTTCAACGTAGCCAGACTATACATTGGGGGGGTTCTGTAGGCTTGTAAGGCCGGCTGAAGCCATGCCCTAAACCCTAAACCCTAAACCCTAAACCCAAAAGCCAAACCCTAAACCCCAAACCCTAAACCCTAAACCCTAAACCCTAAACCCTAAACCCTAAACCCTAAACCCACTCAGTCCGCTGGATTCCCGAGAGCGGCCTGTGGTGGCGCCCGGAAGATCGCAGACAAGCTGCCTCGGCGGCGGAGGAGTTCTTGGGATGCTCCGGGCTTTGCAGGGTTTAGGGTTTAGGGTTTAGGGTTTAGGGTTTAGGGTTTAGTGTTTAGGGTTTAGGGTTTAGGGTAGCGGTGCTCATCATATGGGGGTTTTCGAAAATAAGGGGCCCCTGAATATGGACCCCCCCAATAGTAAGATTCCCTTATCATAAGGACTACAGTACGGTACCCCTAGTGTCGGAAGCCCCTCTGAATCTTCGTGTGAATCTCAAATCTCAACAAGATAGGGTACCTCAATCAGGGTATGCAGTGGACTTATGCAGGGCCACGTGTTGACGATTTGTTGGGGCAGGAGGGGGGAGGCAAAAGCCTACACCCACCCACCCAAGAGCGTCTAGCAGTTTTTCTTGTAACCCAAGAGTCTTCTGAGAAGAGCCACCCATGCCCGGGTAGAGGGGTTAGGGATTTAAGGGGTATGAGGAGGGACCCGTCGAATACTCCCTATATGACCTACATACCTTATATCGTCCCCATATACCTGAGCAGCCCTCGAATTACCTCATATGACCCCTAAGGTCCATTACCAGGGTCACTGCTTTGGTCCCATGAGGGATGAGGGCTCTCGGCACCTCTTTTTGAACTGCTTAAAACCGAGAACAGAAGCTCACAAGTGCATCTAAGGGTAGTTACATGGTCCCTTAAAAGTAAACCCTTTATATACCCTGTACCAAGGAAGGGCGCCATATAGGGATCATATTAAGGGCCCATCCCGTGTAGGGAAACCCTAAACCCTACGTACTAAGTTACTAAGCCTCTTCCGGTCCGAGCGTCTGCTCCCGGCCACCAACCGACACAGTGGCCACGGCCGTGCGACCCAGGTCGTACATGTCCACGCGCTTCACGGAGCCCTTGCGCTGTGCTGCATTTTGTGCATGTGATGTTGGGCTGGGACTCGGGACATGGTGTTCTGCATCCTTAGCCCTGAACCCTATGCAGAACCCAACACCTGAGCCCTGAGGCCCTCAACCCTCAAACACCCACAACCCTAACACCAAAACACTCCCTGAGCCCTGAACCTCCCCGAGCCCGAAGTCTGGTCATCCCGGACTGACAAACCCGTGGCTCGGGCCTCCCAGGCCTACGAAATTGAACTCTGGATGGATTTTAAGGTTCAGGGTTGAGGGTTTAAGGTTTAGGGTTTTGGGTGTTTGAAAGCCAGGGGTGTGTGGGCCATCCTCGACTGGCCAAACCCCAAACCCCAAACCCCCAACCCTGAACCCTGAACCCTAAACCCTAAGCCGTCAACCCCAAACCCCAAACTCTAAACCCGAAACCCCAAACCCTAAACGCTAAACCCCACACCCCCACAGGGCAAACAGTGGCGCGAACTGGGCCGGGCCTCGTCGACGAACTCCAAGAGGCGGGAGTAGGTGACGCGGCCTCAGAGAGGGTGAGAGGTTGTGGGGGTTCTTGGGGCAAGCAGGGTTTAGGGGATAGGGTTTCGGGTTTTTTGACCTGCGAGTAGTTGGGGTTAAGGACTTGATGACATAGGGTCAGAGGTTTGTAGAGCCAGTTGGGGACTGTCAAGCCCAGCGTGTGCTCGCGGGACCAGCCCCTGAACCTGAAGCCCCCAGCCAGAAATACCCGAAAGCCGAAACCCCAAAACCCTAAACCCGCAAGCACTATAGACCTTAAACCCCCACCCCCCTAAACCCTAAACCCGCAACCCCCCCCCCCCCCCACCCCCTTTTTAAGGTGGCTTTTGAGAGGAAGCGAAAGGGAGCAGACCCAAGCTCTTGTGCCAGTCATCGTATCTCGGGTTTGGGGCTTATAGGGTTTAGTGTGTAGGGTTTAGGCTTCAGGTCAACCAACCCTAAACCCTAAACCCTAAGCCCTAAATCCTAGACCCTAAACCCTAAACCCTAAACCCTCTATAAGCACCCCAGAGCCCTCCAAACAAAGGGTCCGAAAATCCTGGTTGCCATGTGGGAGCTCGAAAAGCCAGAAAAGCCCTGAACCAAACCCCAAACCTTACTTAAACCCGAAACCCTCACCCCTAATCCCTAAACCCGAAACCCCGAAACCCCGGAACCCTAAACCCTAGACACTGCATGAACCCTGACCCCTAAACCCGAAACCCTGGCCTGTGACCCGCTGGAAGCCGCCACCACCCGGCTGCTGCATCTGCATCTGGGGGGCCTCCATCGTCCTTGGGGGGTTATAGCCAACGGGAAAAGAGTGGACCCCTGGAAGGGGCCCTTAATCTTGTTCCCTATATAACCCCTGTGTATATATATATATGTATACATAGAAAAGTACATATACCTTATATAGTCCCTATATACCTAAATAGTAACCCGCAAATTACCCCCCTAACGTCCCTTATGAGTTCTAGGGATGCCTCCTTTAGTCCCTTGATATAGAGTGCTGAGTCCAAGGTTCCCTCATACCCCCCCCCCCCCTACTCCCTAAGGCTCCCTAAGCTTCACGAGGGTTCCCTAGGTTAACCCTTTCTGCTAACAACCACTAGTAGGGACTACAGTAGGGGGTACTATAATCCCTATTAAGGACTGCTCGTAGAAGGGGTAACATGCCAAGATATGTGGCTTGGGGAGCGCCGCTGGCAGCTTTGATGGCGGAAGCCCTTTCTGACAATGATCCACTTTGCATAGGTGCACCTGGGAAACCTTAGAATTCTTGCTTCAAAACGGGTTCGAGGGTTTAGGACCTCAAAACCCAAAAAGCAAAAAAACACTCTCGGCTTTGAGACATCACTCTGAAAAAATGGACATTTCCCAAAGTAGGCGCACACACCCTGCCCTTGCCATACCGCCAGCATATGATCATCCTGACTCATGAAAGATCCTACAACCCTGTGTTGGAGAAACCCCCCAAATGGTTTCACGGTTTAGCGTTGAATCACCCCCAACGTGTATAGGGTTTAGGGCATACAGGCATGTTCTAAAAAATTTAAGATGGATAGGGTTTAGGGTCTCAGGATTTAGGGTTTAGGGCTTAGGGGGCCCTAAACAGTAAACCCTAAGCCACACAAGGCACATGGGTTCAGGGCGTTGAAGAAGTTTAGGGCTATTGGTCATGTAGCTCGCGGGGCTTGCAAACAAGTAGGCGTTGATGGTTTCAGGGCTGCAACACAAAGCAGCCACATAATTAAGGGCCCCATTTCTGGCTTCTTGTCTTGAAATGAGGGTGGGTATGGCAACCATTCGCTACCATTTGCTGAAAACAACCCAGCACATGATAATAGTCCATGTTGCCCTTAAAAGGAAAGAATACGTTGTATTTGTGGGGGGGAGGTTCTCAAGCAAGTCGTAGTTCCTATACTGACCTTACAACCCTAACCCTAAACCCTAAGGTTCAGGGCCCGGAATTAAGTCAGGCCAAGGTGTCTGTAGCGCGGGCACGTCGTCCGCCTATCGTCCGCGGAACAAAGTTAACCACACATCCCAAGAGAACCACGGCCCGAGCTCCGAAGGGTTCAGGGTTTAGGGCTAAGGGTTTAGGGTTTAGGGTTTAGGGTTTAGGGTTTAGGGTTCTCTTTTTGGGTTCTATGTAGGGGTTTGAGGTTTCGGAGGTCCAGGTCTTCGGCCCGCTTGTGTAGACCTAGGATGAGGGTTCAGGGCTTTCTGGAACCCTGGACTACAAGGAAGCACATGAAGCCGAAGCTGACATCCGCACTGGCAAGATGCAAATTAGGGCTTGGGGCGTAGGGTTTCGTAGTCCACATATGGTCAGTTCTCTTAATTTATGGTCACTTTTTGGGTGCCTTAGATAAGAGGAGCCGCCTTAGCTTAAGAACCCCCCAAAAGGGACCATATTTTAGAGAACTGACCATACATATATATATATATAATGTTTTTTTAAGTCACGAGTTTACTCAATATACTCATGTTTCAATAACACCGCGAAACTCTCACCCCACGTCTATGAGATAGGGCATTTACTGCTAGTATCCCCCAAACGGCACCCAACATAAACAGCCACCAAGTATACATCAGGAACCCTATACACACTCACCAAAACGGCAACACAACAACAGCCTTTCCTCACAGAGTGATAATATTTCACATGTTACACACATGTTGAGCCCTAATCTCTAAACCTCTAAACGCACAGATGTATGTGTGCAGGTCCATATATACACATATACATGTATACATATACATTTATATGCTTATATATATATATATAAATATATTTATTTATTTATATTTATGTATTTATCCACATCAAACCTATGGAAAAAAGATGTTCATATGGTGCGAAATATGGTGACTTCTCTACAGTATGGTCTTTTCTTGGGTCCTCATGATAAGGCGGCACAGAAAGGGACCCTAATTTAGAGACCCTAAACCCTAAACCCCAAACCCTAAACCCTAAACCCTAAACCCTCCCTAAAACATGAGTGCAAGAACCCGGGCCTTGGCTGCCAGAGGCGCCGCGGATGCCGCCAGGGCGGCCAGGACCTGCCGGAGGTTTCCGGGCTTCCCTGGGCTTTTTGTGAGAATCACATAAGGGTTTAAGACCGTAACCCTAAACCCTAAACCCTAAACCCTCAACCCTCAACCCTCAACCCTCAACCCTAAACCCTCAACCCTCAACCCTCAACCCTCAACCCTCAACCCTAAACCCTAAACCCTAAACCCTAAACCCTAAACCCTAACCCTCGGGTTTAGGGTTTAAGCACTGGCGGTTGAAGATTTAGGTATTTAGAGCTTAGGTTGAGAGTTAAGGGTTTAGGTATTTAGGATTCAAGGTTGCGACTGAAGGGTTTAGTGTTTCGGGTTCAGGGGTGTCCCAAACAGGGTGGGTTTAGGGTTTAGGGTTTAGGGTTTAGGGTTTAGGGTTTAGGGTTTAGGGTTTAGGGTTTAGGGTTTAGGGTTTAGGGTTTGGGGTTTGGGGTTTAGGGTTTAGGGTTTAGGGTTTAGGGTTTAGGGTTTCCTTGTAAGGGGGAGCCTGATCACACACAACCTTTTTTCGAACATCAATCGCTTGCAGACTTCTAGCTCAATCGGCAACAAACGGTTTACACCACTTGTCCAACACAATCCGGCATCACTTGCCCTACGTCTGTGCGAAGCTGCAGGTGTGGACAACTACAAGGACTGTCGCGAAAGAGCTCGGACAATCTCCGCGCCGTTATGACCAGGTGGGAAGTTCCTGTCGGCACCGGCTGCCAGCAGAAAGCGTGCCTGCCATGATCGTCCATCAGGTCCTTGTCAGCGCTTCCACCAGCAAGCGTGCAATCTTCACGTGACCCCTTGCAACATGCGAGCATGAGAGCCGTCTGGCCACTCGTGGCTGTCAAGTCCGGCGCCTTCTTCCACCAACAAGCGTGCAATCTCCAAGTGGCCCTTGCGACATGCGAGCATGAGAGCCGTCTCGCCGCTTTTAGCTTTCAAGTCCTTGTCGGCACCAGCTTTCAGCAGTAAGCGGGCAACCTCAGTCAGGCCTCTGCCGGCGGCATATATGAACTTCTCCTTAACTGCCACGTCTGCAGCCACTACCTGCGCCAGCAGCAGCTGCAGCTCCAATGGCCCCTCCAGCATCTCGGTATCCTCCAGCCGAGTGCTGCCATGAAGAAGATCTTGGAGGCACACAGGAAAAGCCGCGCAACTCACGAAGGTGAAGCTTCAGTGCAGCCACGTCCCTCAACTCCTTCTGCTCCAGGACCTCTGCAGTCAAGGAGGCCACCTCTTCGCCAGAGATGCCCCAAACGCGGAGCATCCTTAGGTCACAACGCGGAGGCCTTGATCTGGACCATCGCATGGGGCCCGAAGAACAAGTCGGGGCACTCTGACTCCAGGCAAGCACAAACAGCAAAGAAGTGCGCCGCAGACAACTTCAAGATGAAGGGTTTAGGGATCAGGCTTCTTGGGGTTTAGGCTTTTGGGTTGTATAGTATAGCCTTTCGGGGGGTTAAGGCTGTAGGGTTTAGGGTGGCAAGGTTGTCGGTTTCTTCTGTTTCGACGCTAGCAATCTTGGACCCAACCTTCAACCCTCAACCCCCCCAAAAGGTCTAATCTTGGGATGCTTGCCCCCTAAAACTAACAGTCCTTAATCGCGACTGTAGTACCTACTATCATCCCTATGAAGGACTGTTAGTGTAAGGGGGAACCTCCCAGCCCTAAACCCTAAACCCTACACCCTGCACCCTACACCCTACACCCTAAACCCTCAACCCTAAACCCTAAACCCTATCCCAAGTCTAATGTTGCCATCCGGCGGCATGCTGGCTTCGGTGGTTCTCCCGACTCTTCGGAGGATATGCTTTTTGGAGGGATGGTGGGGGGGGGGGGGGGGGAGTAGTAGGGGGTTTGGGGGATTAGGGCTTAGGGGACTAGGGTTTAGGGTTTAGGTTTTGTTTTTTTTTTTGGGGGGGGGGGGGGGGGTAGGGGAGGCTTGGGCTTTGGGTTAAAAGCGTTTTCAGGAAGTGCGTGGTTGGGACCCCAGAGGGTCCGCTTGTAGTACCACTATATGGAATTGGGCATCCCAAAACCCTATTTAGTATGGTCTTGACCCTCTGGGTAAGATGATGACTACGGGGAAAACCAAAGTGCGGAACAGACAAAGCCCGAAGCCCGCACCTTACACGGTGGACCTTGCGACGTGGGAGCACAAGAGCTGTCTTGCCATCTCTGCATGTCAAGTCCTTGTCAGAACCAGAGATTGCAAGCACTGCGGTTGCTTGCCAAGTCCTTGCAAGCACTAAAGCTTCCAACAACAAGTGTGTGCAATCCCTCAATGGCCAGCGTGACATGCGAGCATGAGAGCCGACTTGCCATCGCCCTTCAAGTCCGTGTCAGCACCAGTTTCCACCAGCACACATGCAATCGCCAAGCGGCCCTTGTCACATGCAGCCCGTCAGGTTGCTTGGCAAGTCCATGTCGGCACGGGTTTCAAGAGCAAGTGTGCAATGAGCCATCTCTGCTCGTCAAGTCCTTGTCGGCCCCTGCTTCCAGAAGCAAACGCGCGATCGCCAAGTGGCCCTTGCGACATGCTAGTATGAGAGCTGTCTCACCGTCCTGGTGTCCGAAGTAGCTGTGCGCATCAGCTTCCAGAAAGTCCTGTGCTCGATCGCGGATGTTTGCCACGTTCATGTTGGCACCAGCTTCAACCAGCAAGCGTGCAATCTCCACGTGGCCCTTGCCACATGCAAACATGAGAGCTGTCCTGCCAGGATCGTCCCTCACATCCGTATCAGCACCAGCATCAACCAGCAAGCGGGCAATCTGCATGTGGCCTTTGTCGCATGCCAGCATGAGAGCTGTCCGGCGATCTCCGCTCCAGCAATCTCCGCTTACAAAGTCCTTGTTGGCACCAGCTTCCACCAGCAATCGCGAAATCTCCACCTTGCCATTGTCACACGCAAATATCAGAGCTGTCCTGCCATACTCGTCCCCCACATCCATGTCAGCACCAGCTTCCACCAGCAAGCGGGCAATCTGCACGTGGCCTTTCTCGCAGGCCATCATGAGAGCTGTCCGGCCATCTCTGCTCCAGCCACCTCCATTTGCCAAGTCCTTGTTGGCACCAGCTTCCACCAGCAAACGCGAAATCTCCTCATGGCCATTAGCACAAGCAAACATCAGAGCTGTCCCGCCATACTCGTCCCCCAAGTTGGACCTCAAGTCCATGTCAGCACCAGCTTCCAACAGCAGGCGGACAATCTTCGCGTGGCCTTTGTCACATGCCATCATGAGAGGTCTCCGGGACTCCAGGCATCTCCGTCCTGGCTGGCACCGGCGTCAAGCAAAAAGCGCGCAGTCTCCAAGTGCCATTGGCACATGCGAGAACGAGAGCTATGTTGCCATCTTGGGCTGTCACGTCCTTGTCAGCACCAGCCTTCACAAGCGAGCGGGCAACATCGGTAAGGCCATCGGAGGCGGCATGCATGAGCTCCTTGGTAACTGCCACGTCGGCAGCCATTGTCTCCGACAAGGAGGCTTTGAGCAACAGCTGCAGCTCCAATGGCCCCTCCAGCATCTCGGTATCAAGCCGCGCAACTCACGAAGGTGAAGCTTCAGTGCAGCCACGTCCCTTAACTCCTTCTGCTCCAGGTCCTCTGCAGTCAAGGAGGCCAGCCCTTCGCCAGAGATCCCCCAAACGCGGAGCATCTTTAGGTCACCTCACGGATACCTTGATCTGGACGTGAACGAAACGCCTCAGCCTACTGCAAACAGCCGCGGCGCTGCCTATACAGCCATAACAGCCAAAAAATCCGTAGAAGCTCTACAACAATGCCCTAACACCCAGGGAGCTCTCAAGCCCCATCGAGAACAAAAAGCCCAAGCCCGATGCAGAGAGCATCCGTCATGAGCCTAAACCCTGACTCTCCCGCTCTCCACGCCACCACAGAAAACCACTAAGCGACGCCCCCCTCCCCCCTGGATCTTAACCCTCGACACCAGAACCCGACAATCCTGAAACGCTTCGTTGCAAACAGACTTGGTGCTCCATATTGCGGGTGTATAGGGCCTTCACAGGAGGCCGCCCAAACGCTAAACCCTAAACCCTAAAACCCTAAAACCCTAAAACCCTGAAACCCTGAAACCCTAAACCCAAAATCCTAACCCCGAGCTAGCCCTAAGAGCCATGCCACTTACAACGTTCCTTTTCAAATTCTTTGGGGCGCCCTTCCCTTTAGGCCCTGAACTTGCCCTAAACCCTAAACCCCAAACCCCAAACCCCAAACCCTAAACCCCAAACCCGCAACCCCAAACCCCAAACCCCAAACCCCAAACCCTAAACCCTAAACTGCCCTAAACCCTAAACCCTTATAAGCTCCAAGCCCCAACAAAACCGTACCTCCTCGACCTGAAGCCGCTTGCAGTCGGCGCCTGCACCGCGGCGTGCTTCACCACGTGGTCTGGCAGGGCAGCGCCTGTGGAGACCTGAAGGGGATTCTATCTATCTATGTATCTGGCTAGGACAATGCATAAATTCTATATATATATATATATGACCATATATATTTATGTGTATATATATATATATATATATATATATGCGGGTGTATCAAGGTTTAGGGTTTTATACGAATATATATATATATATATATATATATATATATATATATATTTATTTATTTATTTATGTATTTATTTATTTTTTTATATTTATATACATACATACATATATATATATACACATACATATATACCTAGACAAGTACGAGTGTGCATATGTATATATGTATATATATATGTATATATACACATGGAAAAAGTACGTAAGACTTCTTGATCTTGCATGCATGTATATACGTATGTGTATATATATATATATACATATATATATATATACCTATACCTATACGGACAAATAACATGTTCAGAAAATCGCATATCTGGTCATGCCATACCTTACCCCATCATACTAGATAGAGGATCTTCAGCGTTTAGGTCTTGAGGTGCTGAGTGACTACGACGGACGTGCAGGGTTCAGTTGGAAGCCTTCTACCTCGCACGGCGCCGCACGCCTGCCTGGAACCTAAAACAATTAAGCCCTGCACCATTACAAGCCCTAATCCCGAAACCTTAAACCCACGAACCCCAAGAACCCCAAACCCCCTAAAACTCTAAAGACCCTGAAATCCCTAAATACCCCTAAAAAAGCCTAAAAACCGAAAAACAAAAAAACACACACACACACACACACATTCCCTCAACGCCGCTAAAACCCAGGCATTTCCTTCCGGTAGGCCTCAGCTGCCATGTCCTTGACGCGGCGCAGAACTTCCTCCCGAACTGGGGGGGGCTTAGGGTGGTGGCATGGTCCCCCAATATGGTCCCCCCAATAGGGGTTAGGGGTTTAGGGGTTTAGGGGTTTAGGGGTTTCGGGGTTTAGGGGTTTAGGGGTTTAGGGCGTTTAGGGGTTTAGGGGTTGAGGGCGTGGTCTAGGGGTTTAGGGGTTTAGGGGTTTAGGGCGTTTAGGGGTTTAGGGGTTAGGGGTTTAGGGGTTTAGGGGTTTAGGGGTTTAGGGTTTGGGGGGGGTTTAGGGGTTTAGGGGTTTAGGGGTTTAGGGGTTTAGGGGTTTAGGGGTTTAGGGGTTTAGGGGTTTAGGGGTTTAGGGGTTTAGGGGTTTAGGGCCCCTACAACCCAAGGGCCCTCAGAACCCACTAAAGAGGGTAAGTGACCATATTTAAGAGCGCGCTGGTGGTCTGAAGCACCTCTTGCAGCGTCTGGGGTCCGGCGGTTCCGCCGAGACGCGAAAGTGGGACCTGACCCCATAAGGCCAACCGCACCGCGCCTTGCACAGAAGGGGGTCCTTGCTGGACTCGTGCGGGTCTGGCCGATGCAGGCGCCGGTTACGGCGATGCATGATGAAAATGTCCGCCTCTTCTACCGGCGGAATCGCCGTCGCGAAGTCAGGCACCTCCAGGAAAACGATCCCGGGCAGGTCCGACTGCGGCGAAAAGGGGGCGCCGCTAACGAAGCGGCCGCGTCCCCATCCTCCTGTGGGCTCTCCGCGATGTGCTGAGCGCCGGGTTCCTCGTCGTGGCGGTTTAGGGTTTAGGATTTCGGGTTTAGGGTAGCTGGTCTCCTTCGAGTCCGTAAGAAAAGAAGCCTAAGCCTGAGTAGCGCTTGACAAAACTTGTGGCTCAGAGTGCACCAGGGAAATTCTCTTCTGAGAGATTCAACACCCCTAGACCCTAAACCCTAAACCCTAAACCCTAAACCCTAAACCCTAAACCCTAAACCCTAAACCCTAAACCCTAAACCCTAAACCCAAACCCTAATCCCTAAACCCCGAATCATGCCACCCTCAAGTTGTTCAAGACCCCCGACTCGAAACCCCGGCTTGCACTAGGCCCTAAACCCTCAACGAATGTTCCAAGACACCCTCAACCCTAAACCCTAAACCCTGAAACCTAAGCCCTAAACCCTAAACCCTAAACCCTAAAGGCTTTAAGTCAGTCCTCGCTGGTGCACTCCTTGCTCTCCGCCTGATACTGCGCTCTTAAAGTTGCATTTCAGGGTTCCGGGGTTTAATCATGGGTTTAGGGTTTAGGGTTTTAGGGTTTAGGGTTTAGGGTTTAGGGGTTCCCCTACTCCCCCCCCTCAATACTACCCCGGGAACCTAGCAAGAGATAGTATAGAGGGGCGGAGTAGGGGAACCCATGATTTAAGGGCTCATGGTTGCCAGGTTTCCTGATTAGGGCTTTGGGGTGCTGGGGTACGTCGGCACACTTGCCGCGCAGCTACAGCGTGCCTGCGTAAAACCACTGTGGCAAGACTGTCGAACAAGACGCTAAACCCGAAACCCGAAACCCGAAACCCTAAACCCTAAGCCCTAAACCCTATACATACCCAATCCACACTGTTGATCGAACAGCTAGGCTTCGTGTGGCCCAGTTGTTAGGACACTCATGCCTGAGCCGTTGGAGGCCACATGATGCCCTGAAAGGTCCCGAGTTCCGACATCGAGCATCATCCACCGGCTTCTTCATAGGGAATGAGGATTAGGCCCATATATACCCTTTAAGGGATGATACGGGGTGCTCATTCCCTCATTCCCTACTAACACTAAGAACCCGCCAGTCTGTAACTACTTGCCGGAAGCCTCTCTGTGTCACGGCGGCCCACCCAGAGTTTTTCGGAGTGTGTTCCGGGCACGTGCTCGCCTTTTGAGCAGAATCGGGTTTAGGGGTTGAACCTTAAACCCGAAACCCTATACGAGAAACTCCGGGGGCTTAACTGGCGATTGGTTTGGTGTTAGGGCCCTAAACCCTAAACCCTAAACCCTAAACCCTAAACCCTAAACCCTAAACCCTAAACCCTAAACCCTAAACCCTAAACCCTAAACCCTAAACCCTAAACCCTAAACCCCAAACCCTACCCTAAACCCTAAACCCTAAACCTTAAACCGAAACTAGGGACACAGAAGGGGCTGACAGCTTCGAAGCCTAACCCCCCTTGGTAACCAAAGAACCATAGCATAGTAAGGGTGCCTTGTTGGGGTTGGTTACTTTACAAAGAAACCCTAAGCCCTAAACCCTAAACCCTAAACCTTGAACCCCAACAAGTGCCAAAGGGTACCACGGGGCTACCGAGCACCACTAAGCCCTAGTGGGTTCCGGTTTTTGGATTCGGTTTAGGGGTTTCAGGGGTTTGGGGTTCAGGGTTTCTAAAGACCCATCCTAAGCATTCCATCAACCCAGAACCTGCCCCAAGCCTCCAAATCCCTATCCTCGATCCTCAGACCCTCTAAACCTTTCCCCCCCAACTCCTAAGCCGAAAAACCCCAAGCCCCAACCCTGACCCGTAAACCCTAAACCCTCAACCCTAACCACAAACCCTAGTTAAACCCCACTCTACACCCCAACCCCCCAAACCCAACAGCAAACCCTAGACCCCAAGCTGCAGGCCCCCTACACCCTAAACCCTGAAACCTAAACCCCAAAGCGCAAAACCCAAACCTCAAACCCTAAACCACAATCCCCCCCCCCCCCCCCCACCCTAAACCCCCAAACCCTACGCCACAACCCCCCCCCCCCCCAAAAAAAAAAAAAATAATAATAGTAATAATAAAAAAATCACATATATATATATATATATGTATATACAATACTGAATAAAAACACACACACACACACACACACACACACAGACAGAGAAAAACAAATGCAAAGGCGCCTCGGGGGTGGCCAAGCCAAGCCGAGCCACCGCGCTGCGGGAGGCCTTGAGCCAAGAGCTCCCCCCCAAAAGGCTCTCGAGAAAGTTCTTGGGTTTTGGGTTTATAGGGAATAGGGTACCGGGTATAGGGTTTAGGGTTTATAAGGTTTACAAGGGTGTAGGGTTTAGGGTTGTAGGGTTATAGTGTTTTGGGTGTAGGGTATTGGGTGCCTCTGAGCGAGTTTGGGGCGTCTTTTCTCGGAACGTTTTCCGGGTTTGAGGTTCTGCATGATTCGTTTCGCGATTTTTTGGGGTCTCCAGGCAGCCCCAAATCTAAAAGGCTCTATAGGGCTCTTGGCGCAGGGCTTGGGATTGGCTCTGTTGGTGAGTGATGTGAGCTCAGGACTTCGGAACTTTGTTAGGGTCCAATTTTACAACAGGGACTAAACCCTAAACCCTAAACCCGAAACCCTGTGGCTTGTTGGCCCTCCGACCATCATGTTGATACCAAAGGGTAAGCCTCTAGGTTTAGGGTTTAAGGTTAGGGTTTAGGGTTTAGGGTTTAGGGACATAGCAGGGCTGCTGGGAATGTACTCTAGACCCAGGAGTAACCTAGGAATCAAGGGGGTGCCCTCTTTGGGGCTTACAAGGGAACCTCAACCCTAAACAAAGGGAATACGGGCCTGCTCCGGGTCCTAGTCTTTTTTTAGAACTGAGACACCAATATTTACCACAATGAGGGTGTATTATAGTAAACACGAAGGGCTCTAGGGACTCAAGTTCCACAACAACAACCCAGCTAAAGCATGCTAGCCTTCGAACCACAAGACGAAAGCTCTCAACGCACGACGACCCCCCCCCCCCCCCCCCCCCCCCCCCCCCCCCCCCCCCCAAAAAGATCGACCTCGTAGCCTCTAAACCCTCAAAACATACTAAACCCTAAGCCCCAAACCCTGCAAAACCCTGACCCTAACATACCAAACCCCAAAACCAGAAAAGCCTGCGCCCATTAAACCTTCGTTTGCTAGACCCAGGAGTAACCTAGGAATAAACAGGGTACCCTTTTTGGTTTAAAGGGGTTTAGAAGGGCCCCTAAACCCTAAATAAAGGGAACAAGGGTGGCTGGCCAGACGCCTTGCCATCCCGTGGCGCAGCGCGAGTGGACCCGCAGAAGCCCCGGCGAGGGCAATCGGCACATGCGAACCTTGGCAGGCGTGGTTCGGGGGTTTAAAGGGTTTAGAGGGTCTGTAAGGGTTTTAGGGTGTATGGGGTTTAGAGGGTTTGTGGGGTTTATAGGGTTTAGAGGGTTTGTAGGGTTTATATCGCCTCGGAAGGAAGGAAGGTTTGGAGGGTTTAGAGGGTTTAGATGGCTTAGAGGGTTTAGAGCGTTAGAGGGCTTAGAGGGTGTAGGGTTTAGCGTGGTGTTAGGGTTGTTTTTTTGGGTGGTCTAGGGTGTGCAGGGTCTGTGTAGGGCTTGCGTTTCGAGAGTTTGGATTCAGGGGTGTTGAGGTACATGTCCAGGGTCTACTGGTTTTGATGGATTCTTTGGGTGTAAGTAGGGTTTAAGGGTATAGGGTTCAACGTGAAATGATGGTGTACGGCTGGTGAGGATGGTGGGCAGAGGATGTTCCTGCTGGTGGTTCTTGCATATTTACAACCGAAAACCTGGACCCGAAACCCCAACCCCTAAACCCTAATGTTGGACTGACTGTAGTATAAGAGGGGTCTATAATCACAAGTTTCGAAAATTCATTCAGCGAACCTAGTTTGTTTGGGGTACCGTCTATTATCACAAGTTGTTTCCAGACGTTTTTTTTTGTTTAAGGGTTTGTGTTTTGTGTTAAAGGGCTTACGCAGTAAGGCTTGAGGCCCTGAGGGTCTTGGGCTCCAGGAATCCTAAAGAGCCAGAGCGCGGAGAATCCAGAAATCTAAGCCCGGCCAGTTCCAAAATCCTTATGGAAATTCATTACGAAACGAGGCCCCAAACAAATTTTGGGCCTGGCAGGGTCTTTCAGCGACCCTGTACCGAACAGAAGAAGCCTAACCCCACAAGCTGTAAACCCAAGCACCAAGCCGTTCTGACATTCCCCTTCCCCCCCCCCCCCCCCGCCCCGAAAGAACAGTAGTCATCGATACGTGTTGGGCCCGAAAAGGCTGTGGTCTCTTCAGGTTCTGTGTCGCTCTTTGCTCGAAAACCTGCTGCGTGCTTGGGCGTCGATTTTGTTGGTTTTTAGGGTTTAGAACCCTCAAACCCTCAGATAAATCCTGTCTAAGCCCCAATCGCTAGCACGAATCCTACCCTCCACCATCGTCGCATCTTTCGCTACCTGACTACGAACTCTATAAACCGTGAACCTCCGTAGCCACCGCAAGAGCACGTGCACCCTCAGCCTTAAACCAGACCCCCATAGACCGCCCAGAGGCATCATTGGCTTGTCTGGATGCACGCATTTCGCCTTTCGGGGCAGCGCCACCTTTGAAACGGAAGGCTGATGTCGCAAAGGTCTGCACTGTCTGCACCACATATTCAGCCCCCCCATACCCGAATTGAGTGTAGTAGTATACCCTCACAACCCTTGAAGCCCACGTAGGCCTCAGAAACCCAGGCCTGTTGAACCCTACACCCCTAACCGTCCTCCATCCCCCCCTTCCACCCCAACCAATCCAGCCTCTGACGTGGTGGTCTCGATCACCTCGCCCGTGTAGGCAGCCACGGCCATCTGGCTGTTGCCCATGACCTCAAAGGGGGTTAAGGGGATGAAGGTAGGGTTTAGGGCCCAGGGCTCAAGGCTTTAGTGGTCAGGGGTTGGGGTTTAGGGTGTTAGGGTTCAGGGTGTTTAGGGCATTAGGAGTTCGGGGTTCGGGGTTCGGGATTCGGGATACGGGCTAAGATGTGTGACTCTATTCATGTAATTATCTCTGTTTTGTTGCATTGTTTTTTTGTTGGGGGCGCGGGGGGGGCCGGGGAGGGCTGGGGAAAGGGGGGTTGTAAACCCTAAACCCTAAACCCTAAACCCTAGATCCTAAACCCTAAACCCTAAACCCTAAACCCTAAACCTTAAACCCTAAACCCTAAACCCTAAACCCTAGGGAGGCTCTCGATTTCGCGTGCGAGGCGCCAGCTTCCCTTCCGCGGCCGCCTGGTTGATGAGCTTCATCAGCTGCTCACCCGACACCTTCGGGTTTAGGGTTTAGGGTTTAGGGTTTAGGGTTTAGGGTTTAGGGTTTAGGGTTTAGGGTTTAGGGTTTAGGGTTTAGGGTTTAGGGTGCGAAAAAGCGTTGGCGTGAGTAGTGCCTCCAAAGCCCCAAAACCCTAAAACCCTAAACCCTGAACACCTAAACCCGAAACTGGAGGAGGGAGGGGAGGGCTTCGGCTTAGAGTGAGTTTAGGATGGGTTGGCTTAGGGTTTTGGGGTCCTGTGCTTTGCAAAGCAAGGTAGGCGTGCAGGCTTCCTCTCTTGAGCATCGTGGAGGATTCTCTCTTTTCTTCTCCGCCACTGGCTTTGCTTGCAAATCAAGGGCAAGTACAGTTTGACACAATTTGGCTTAGGCTTTTGGCATCCTGTGCTCGGCAAAGCAAGGGCGAGTACAGGGTTATCAACAGGGTTTGGGTTTAGGGTTAGGGTTTAGGGTTTAGGGTTTAGGGTTTAGGGTTTAGGGTTTAGGGCTTAGGGCTTAGGGCTTAGGGCTTAGGGTTTTGGGGGTTTTATAAGGGGCTCAAGGGCTTCGGCATCTCAAGGCTGGGAACGACTTCAAACAGCGCGCTGAGAAGGCGTGAGCGGGATATTGCTGCTTCAGCGTTGGGGCTCGGGATGGGCACACAAAGTATGCCCTCATGCATACTAACAGTCAAAAGACTTTTACACCTAAGTGGCACAGCAAAAAACCCAGTGCAGAGGAATTGGAATTACTTCCTTACTAGAAGAGGGGCCACCCGCAACAGCTTACGGCTTAGGGCTTCGGTGCTAAGAGCTTGGAGTTGAGGACTTAGGCTCCGCCTTCTCCTCCTCCAACAACATCTTCGCCAACTCATCCAGGAGGTACCTTTGCACATCAAAACCCCCCTAAACCCTCCACTCTACACCTCTTTCCCCCCGAAAGGCCCAAAAGCCCTAAACCCTACGCACTAAAGACCCTAAACCCTAAACCCTAAACCCTAAACCGTAAACCCTAAACCCTACACCCCAAACTCCACATGTTCCCACTCAAGGGCTCTGGCAGCCTCCACTTGCCACAGTCAACACCCGCCCCAGGCCAAAGGCTCACTCTAAGCCCAGACGCACCTTTGGGACCGAAGCCAAACCCCAAAAGGGTTTAGGGTTTAGGGTTTAGGGTTTAGGGTTTAGGGCTTGGGGGTTCATCATGTGGTTGAGGGTTTAGGGTTTAGGGGTTTCAGGGTCCAAGGTTTTAGGGTTTTTGGGCTTGGAGGCTGTAGTGGCGATAAGGTGACGTAGGATGTCAGAAGCATGATCGGTGTATGGTCCCTTGTCAACGGCTTCTTGAAGAATTGTGGTGGTTGGGTGATTTGGGCGGACCAAAAAAAGCTCACACGACCCTAAACCCTAAACCCTAAACCCCGAGATTGGCAACAACCCGAAGCCCCTGAAACCTCTCAAGCATACCGCTAAACCCTAAACCCTAAGCCCTAAACCCTAAACCCTAAACCCTAAATCCTAAACCAGAATTCCTGCACCATGAAAAACCTTCACCGCGCATGGAGACAAGGCTCATGTTGTCGCGAAGCAACTTCATACCGCGCTGATACCTTGTCAGTCAGTGGTGGTTTGGACTTCCCTCAACCCCACGTCCGAAGCCCTAAGATCTAAAACTCCGAGGCCCTAAAGCCTACTTCCCAAGCTTGTAAGCCCTACGTAGACCCTACATCCTAAGCCCTCAGAAAACTCTGAGCCCTAAAGCCTAAACCTTAAACCCTTCGAGCTGGAGACCTCGTCCAGTTCAGGCGCATCTAGATCTGCGGCAGGGTCCGTAGCAGTGAAGTTCCGACCATCGAACGGAGCGAGAAGACATGAAGTAAGGCTTATATGAGTTTATATTAGTTTATATGAGTTCGTATTAGTTTATATGAGTTTATATGAGTTTACATTAGTTTATATTAGTTTATATTGGTTTATATGGGTCTATATTAGTTCATATTCTTGTATCCCCAGAAGGAAACCCAATACATACACTCACCAAAATGGAAAAGGAACCTTATATACAGTCACCAATAACAGAAATAGAAACCTTGCTTCATATGAACCCCAACAACATCGAAACTGTTTCACACATCCATAGCCCTAAGCCATACACCCAGAACTCTTCAGATGTGACGTCCCGAAAAACCTAAACTAGACCCAAGAGTAACCTAGGCAAAAAAGGCTTATATAGGAACCCAAACCCTAACAAAGGGAATAAGAGCCCACTCTGGGTCCTCGACCTTCAACCCTAAACCCTGTAACTCCTTTCACCGCCACGCCCCTGAACCCTTTAACCCGAAAAGGTTATCAATCCGAACAGGCCCTAAACCCCTAGAGCCAGCATCTACAAGGCAATTCGCAGGTAACGCTTCAAATCGCATTCAACAAGAACGAATTAGGTAGTGTAGCCCCAAACCCTAAACCCGAAAGACCGAGAGACCCTGTAGGGTTAGGTACGTAGGTTTGCGAAAGGCTCTAGATTGGAATTTGGGATATGGGGTCCATAAACCCCAACACGTAGAACCTAAACCCCTAAACCTGCAAAAACAACGAACTAAAGTCAGTATGGTAAGCCGGGCCCTCCTGTAGACCCTTTGACCCTGAAACCCTTAAACCCTGAGCCCCAAAGTCATGAACATTTTGAGAGTTGAGGGTTTAGGGTTTAGGATTTAGGGTTTAGGGTTTAGGCTTTCAGCCACGGCGGCTGCTCGTCCACGATGCGCTTGATCTCACCATCCACCTTCTGCTTCCTCGGCCGTTTGTCTAGATTGTTTCAGCAGGCCCATGGGAAGGAGTAGTGTTTAGGGTTTAGGGTTCAGGGTTTAGGGTCTATAGGGTTTAGGGTTTAGGGTTCAGATTCCTGAGAACGTGCTTCTCTATAACCAGGTCCTATAAGCAAGGAATAAATAAGAATGATTCTTTTTCGTTCCTATTGAAGCAGGAAACACAAAAGTTTAAAGCTCAACTGTTGGCTAGAAGTCAGGGAATGAGTATATACTTGTTTTTTTGACTTCTGGGTTTTGCGCATAGGCAAAAGGGAACCCGGGAGCAAAGAACAAAACGTCTAGAAAGAGTGTTTGGGGTTTAGGGTTGAGGGTTTAGGGGTTTAGGGGTTTAGGGGTTTAGGGTTTAGGGTTTAGGGTTTAGGGTTTAGGGTTTAGGGTTTAGGGTTTCCAAACCCCAAACCCTAAACCCCAAACCCCAAACCCTCAACCCTCAACCCTCAACCCTAAACCCTACCTCCACCCTAAACCCTCAAACCCTAAACCCTAAAACCCAAAGGCCGGAGAGGTCGAGGCGCAGTGCCTGGGACATGGGTGGGGCACCCTGGCCCATGAAGTCGCGGCCCATGAAAGGGCCGCCGCCCTGCTGGCCTCAAGGCTCTGGGGGTTTAGGGTTTTAGGGTTTTAGGGTTTTAGGGTTTTGGGGGTTTTAGGGTTTTGGGGGTTTTGGGGTTTTGGGGTTTTGGGGTTTTGGGGTTTTGGGGTTTTAGGGTTTTAGGGTTTTAGGGTTTTAGGGGTTAGGGTTTGGGGCTTTAGGGTTTTGGGGGTGTAGGGTTTTAGGGTTTAGGGTAGGGTGTAGGGTGTAGGGTGTGGGGTGTTTGGGTAGAGGGTCCTAGGTTTAGGGTTTAGGGTTTTGGGTTGCAGGGCGTTTGGTTTTATTGGGGGGGGGGGGGGGGTTTTAGGGTTTAGGGTTTTGGGGTGAAGGGAGCAGTGTAGGGTGTTTGGGTAAAGGGTTTAGGGTTTGGGGTTTGGCGGTTTAAAGCGTTGAATGATGCGCTTGGCGCGTTTTGAATCGGGTGAATTCCCACGAATACTCCTCAAGAAGCCCCCTATACATTCCTACATACCCCACGTGCACTGTATCCCTTCCTGAATGCCCCTGAATACCTCTAAACAGCCCTACATATTCCCCAAATACCCCTAAACCCTAAACCCTAAACCCTAAACCCTAAACCCGAAACCCGAAAAGCCCTAAACCCCAAGCCCAGGCGCCGCCAAGGAGTCGCTGGCCGATTTCGGGGGACATGCCCAGGGTCATCACCATCTGCTTGGCCACCTCCGCGGTAGGTAGGGCTTAGGATTTAGGATTTAGGGTTTCGGGTTTAAGATTTAGGGTTTAGGGTTTAGGGCTTAGGGTTTAGGGCTTCGGGTTCAGGGTTTCGGGCCTTCGGCTTAGGGTATGGGGCCCAGGGTTTCGGGCTTAGGGTTGGGGCTTGGGGTTTACGGCTTAGGGTTTAGGGTTTGGGGTTCAGGGTTCTTTTTGCACCTGCGTGCACTGCTGGAAGTCGTTGGAGGCTCCAGTGGTGACGTTGTCCTTCGTCGCAGAATGGAATCTCAGAGTTTTGCGATGTGGGGGGGGGGGGGGGTTAAGTCAAGGGTTCTGCCGGGTTGCGGGGGCTGGAAGTGTGCTCGGCCACAATCCTCCTACACAACACTCACAAAAGCCCTAAACCCTAAACCCTAAACCCCTAAAAAGTCTGAACCAATGGGGCTCACCAGGGTCCTTGCCGTTGATGATCTCCTCGGCCAGACCTTGGCATCGTAGGGAATCAGGGAGGTTCAAAGTGGGCTTCTAGGGTTTAGAGGTTTAGGGTTTAGGGTTAGGGTATAGAATCAAGGAGGTTCAAAGTCTCTTCGCGTGCTTTGGGGTGTTTGGGGGTGTTTGGGGCTTAGGGGTTTAGGGGTGTAGGGGTGTACGGGTTTAGGGGTTTATGTAGGGGTTTAGGATTTGGGGGGTCTATAGAGCCCGGGATTAAGGTTTCGAGGGAACTGCCAGCCCCCATCGACCCTAAAACCTACCCTTTAAACCACATAAAACCGGGAAACCCCATAAGCACCTGTAGATCCTGTCAACCCTGTAACCCATGTCAAGCCGATCGACCCTACAGACAAAACCTTCTAAAGCAAATAGTTCAACTCCAAGTCCCTCCACCCCAATGAAACTTCCACCAATCTGCGAGGCATACCCCCCTAAGCCCTAAGCCCTAAGCCCTAAGCCCTAAACCCTAAACCCTAAACCCTAACCCTAAACCCTGAACCGTGAACCCTGAACCCTAAACCCTAAACCCTAAAGTGCGTGCCAGCAGACGTCCACCCAGTGCGACGCACATGCGATTTTCCAGGAACTCCTATGGCGTTTAGAGGCTTTTAAGGGGCTTTGAACAGGGCTGTTAGGGGTCTTTGAAGGGGCTTTGGAGGGAAATTAAAGGGGTTTTAAGGGTCTGTTGAGGGAAGTTAAAGGGGCTTTTGAGGGGCTTTTGAAATTATGGGGCTCTAGCCCCTTAATTTCTAATCCCCCATAGTCAAGCTCTAAAAGAGCTATTCTTGGGAAGAAGTGTCGGGCTGTTAATGAGGGGCTTTAGTAATTTAGGGTTTAGAGGCTGAGAACCGCTTGGAGACCATTCTTTGCCGGGGGCAGTGCCTTCTCCCCTGACCCCAAAAGTGCTTGGGCCCGAAGGTCCAGGACCCAACAGCACTTAGTAGGGGCTTTGCTGAGATGCCGTCAACCTCAAGGAGTCTTAGGGTAGCTACATGGTCCCTTAATATGGTCCCTTACAAGGGGACCCCCTGTATACCCTGATATACCCTATACAACACAAGGGCCCATACTTCAGAACCCTTTGATGAAAGTAGAGGACCATACTAAGGGAAAAACCCCCCCAAATCCCTAAATGGATGTCTGGGGTTTAGGGATTCGGGTTTAGGTCGCCCCTAAATTCCTAAACCCTAAACCCCAAACCCGAAACCCCAAACCCCAAACCCTAAACCCTAAACCCTAAACCCTCAGCCCTTAGAGGGAGGTGGTCGCCCCCAAGCCTTGGAGTAGAGGCCGGAGTTGAGGCGGTCTTCGGAAGGCATAAAGATCCTGGCTGCTTTGTGTTGGTGGGCGGTTCTAACCCTAAACCCTAAACCCTAAACCCTAAACCCGAAACCCTAAACCCTAAACGGCGTCTCGGAGGCTTTGTGGGCATTTTGGGGGGGGGGGGGGGGGGGGGGGTGTTTTTTGAGTGTTGAGGGTTTCGACTTGGGATGTTCCTAACAGTCCTGTCCTTGATAGGGATTCTAGTACCCCCCTACTTTAGTCCCCATCGAGGACTGTTAGTACAAGGCGGAACGTCCCAAGTTTAGACTGTTGGGTAAGTGGCCGTCAGGGTGTCAGGGTGAGGGACCACGGGAAACTGTGCGGTCTGGGCCTTCTTGCGGTCCTCAAGTCGCCAAAATGGACCCTATAAACGCTACACTCAAACCCCCCCCCCCCCGCCCCCCAAACAAAAACACAAAAACGTAGTAAACCCCAACCAAAAAGCCCTCTAGTCTCGAAGCCGTTAGCTGTTGCAAGAGACATGCAAGGGCAAGGCTCGTCACGCCGCCAGCGGGTCCACGGGGAACGATGCCTCGGCAGATAGGATCACAGAGAGGCAGTTTAGGGCTTTGGGGGGTTTAGGGGTTCAGGGTCTCTAGGCCGGTGAGGTCTCGTAATCAAACTCAACTTCAAGACTTCCTTCCTTAGAGGTCTGGGCTTTAGGCTGGAGGGGCGCCAAATCCTTAAATTCCCAGACAGCCCCAAAAACAACAAGCTGATCGCGTCAGCAGCCTCACCTCCCACAGACTGTGGTCTGGGCTTCAGGGTTTAATGTGCAGGAACCCTCGGAAAAATATTCCCAAATGTGATCATCTTCAAACCAATAAGGGGACATACAGAATGTCTCAAAGGCCTACCTAGTTTAAGGCTGAATCCGGTTTGCGTTTGGCTGGAGGTTGAAAGCTTTAGGGCACAGAAACATGTGGGGTGTTGTACGGCGCCGGCGGTGGCCAATTGCCAAGCTATGCTTTCGGGAGGTGTGCGGCAGACATGTTTCAGGTTGGGTGCAGGGTCCATACACCCCAAAATTCTAAGCCTGAAACCTTAAACCCCCTAAACCCTAAACTCTACACCCCCTGAACCTCAAACCCTAGACCCCAAGACCCTAAACCCTAAGCTACTATTTGCTTAAGAACCCCAAAAGAAGGGAAAACAATAATCCCTATATTGCCCTTATAAGGAATGTTTTTTTTTTTTTGGGGGGGGGGGGGGGGTTCTTAAGCAATCAGTAGTAAGGCCGCCCTAAACCCTCAGGATCCCAACTTGTCTGGGGCAGCTGCTGATTTTGGCCACCACATCGTAGTCGTTCATCAACGCCCCCAGGATTGCATGGCCGGCCTCGGGTTTAGGGTTTAGGGTTCAGGGTTTCGGGTTTAGGGTTCAGGGTTTAGGCCAAGAACGAATCTGTGCGGTCTCCTTGTGGACTAGATGAGGGTTTAGGGTTTAGGGTTTACGGAAAAATGAAAATATGAACCTTGCCCTAAACCCTAAGCCTTAAAGCCTTCAACTCCCGCCCCTCCACCCGCCCTCCAATGTCCTGCGACCTTTCTTTCTTGAGGCAGTTAGGGCTTAGTTGCCTACCTAGACCCAAGGCCCTAAGCCCTAAGCCCTAAATCCTAAACCCCAAACCCTAAACCCTTAACCCTAAACCGCCCTAAACCCTAAACCCTAAACCCTACACCCTAAACCCCAAATCTGCCGGAAGCCCTCCGGAAAAAACAGTCCGCCTCATGGTAGGCCACCAGCTTCTTCTTTTGATCTGACATGACGGCATCCTTCTTCTCGAGACCTCGAGTAGGGGAGGGGTGGTAGGGCTTAGGGTTTTGGGGTTTTGGGGTTTAGGGGTTTAGGGTTTAGGGTTTAGGGGTGTAACGATGTAAGGCTCATTTTGGGTGGGCTTGTGTTGGGGGCTGGCCAGGTTGGTCTTTTGGGGGAAGTTGCATGGTCTAAACCCCTAAACCCCTAAACCCCAAAACCCCAAAACCCCAAAACCCCTAAACCCCAAAACCCCAAAACCCCAAAACCCCCAAAACCCCAAAACCCCAAAACCCCCAAAACCCCCAAAACCCCCAAAACCCCAAAACCCCAAAACCCCAAAACCCCCAAAACCCCCAAAACCCCAAAACCCCAAAAACCCCAAAACCCCAAAAAACCCTAAACCCTAAACCCCAAAAAACCCTAAACCCTAAACCCCAAATCCCAAACCGGGCGACCGATGGAGATGCGCTCCAGGGCGTTGAAGATGTCGTCGGCGTCAATCTCTGCCTTCCCGGCATCAAGACATCGCAGCTTCTCCCACCAGGGGGGGGCAGACGGCTTCACTTCAGATAGGGCCTCGCTTCAACCCTAAACCCTAAACCCTAAACCCTGAATCCTAAACCCTAAACCCTAAACCCCCAACACCATTCACTCAACACGACCTCTCACTGGACATCCAAATGGGCTGTGAAAGAACCCTGGCAAATTGTCACCTCCTCGCTTCTCACGAGTCCTGGAGCCCTAAACCCGAGCAAGACAACCAAAAAGTACCAGGTAAACATGTATATATATATATATATATATATACATACATACATACGTATACACTTACATATACAGGTACACACACACACACACTTTTACCTCATGAAAAGGAAACATATAGACATGTGCAACACAAGGACTCATGCAACTAGACATATATATATATATACACACATATATATATATGTATATATATATATATATATAAATATAAATATAAATATAAATATAAATATAAATATAAATATAAATATAAATATATATATATATACATACATAGAAATCTAAATAAATAAATATATATATATATATATATATATAGATAGATATATGCCTGCAGCAAGGAAGGTGTGGCTGTACTCTTCTTTGGAAGCAAATTCGAGGCAAGGGCTCAAACCCCCCCCCCCCCCCCCGTCAACGAAACCCGACAGCCTTGTTCTGACGTGCGGCCACAATGGCGCCTTCGTTCCTCGACAGCACCGGGGCATTTCGACTCAAACCAGGTCCGTGATACCAGCCATTGCAGAATTCCGACCTCCGTTCTCCTCTCGAACCCCAAATCGGCTAGCTATGCAGAACACTACACAACATACCGTGTCAAATAAACACAGTGATGAATTACGCCATGTTTTTAATCAGTGATTCTGTGGGGACTTGAATCACTCAACAAACTCAAAGGCTAGAACGGCACCAGACTGGCTCAAAGAGTCACGAAAGGGCAAACGGGCCTCATTTATTATAGGGGGACCTCGAGAGGAAGTTCATACGTTAATCCCCTGCATTCTTTGAAACAATGGGTTTGGGATTTGGGGCTGGAAATTTAGGGTTTCCGTGTTCCCTCTCTCCCTCTCTCTTATAAGCCGGGAAATGGAAAGCCTACAGCCAAATCATAGAGGAGATCCCTACAACGTGAGCCCTGGGATCCCCTAACAGCCCCAGACCTCATCCCCATGCTGATTTACGAGCCGAGGGCGGATGGGTCTCGGGACTTGCAAGTCTGGGGTGGGGATTTAGCGATAGATTTTGGGGATTTGGCTGTTTGGGGTCACCCCAAACCCTAAATCCTAAACCCTAAACCCTAAATGGGCCACCAACAAGAGCCCTAAGACCTTGAGTGGTGCAGCCAGGCGTCAGCAAGTTCGCAAGGTCTGCGCCGGACATGCCTGCAGAGGGGACCCCTTTTTCGGGTTGGGGTTTAGGGTCTAGGGTCTAGGGTTTAGGCTTTAGGGTTTAGGGCTGAGGGTTTAGGGTGTAGGGTTTAGGGTGTACAGGGTTTAGGGTTTAGGGGTCCTCGAGGATGTGGAGCCGGGGGGTGGGGGGGGGAGGGGGAGGGCATATTCCGGAGCAGCGTGGGCCAGTTACCCCACGCCTGCTAGGCTAGTCCTGATGCTTAAAATCGGTGAAACACGCGTATTCCTACACCTCTTCTGCAGTCCTGTTAGCACCACACGTGGTCTTAAGCGAAACCCATGCCGAAATCTCCACAAAAAACAAATGCAAAACACTTGCGGTCACTATGGCCACATATTTAGGGTTTTCGGCTTATATGCATTTATGGTTTAGGTTGGCAATGTCAGGGCGCGCGGTTTCTCAATTGCCCCGTTTGATCTTTAAAACTTTTGGCAAGCTCTTTCAAGAGGGTTAAGCCCCAAAAGGATTTAGGCTTAGGGTTTTTGCACAGAAGCACCGCAGTCGACACGAAGTCTAAACTCCGAGAACGTGAGGACCCTTAGCCGTAAGTGCTCTCAAACCTTCAATGTCGCGGGTTCACCTGGCGTCTGGCGCGCGATGGCGGAGAGGTCAACGCCCGGCGCCAAGTTCTTGCCCTCGAGAACATGTGCATGGGAATCGGGGGGGATTGGGCAGCTCGCTCGGAAGGCCTTGCAAGGCCGTTGCCTACTTCAGGTCCGTAATGAAGCCTTTGGGGAAGTCAAGGCCTTGAGAGGTTGTACTGGTTATAAAACTGAGACTTCGACCTCACCTTGAGCGAGCATACTCATTTCTAGCCTACCGAGTTTAAAGAACTGATTTGGGTTTGCCGCTATGGAGGCCTATAATTAGTTGCGTACGCGCGTCGCTGCATCCATCCGGCTACTTGTCGGAGGCTTCGGCGGCTACGGCTCGTTATGCGGAGGCTCGGGGTAGTTGTGCAGGCTATTAACCTGGGGTTGTGCTTCGCCAGTCTGGGTAAAATACATATTCGGACAGCTAAATTTGGGAATCTACAAGCCGGCATTCGGGGGGGGGACTCGGGCCTGGAGGTGCAAGCCCCCGCTCCCCTCCACGTTGTAATGTTTACTTCAAATTTCTGTCTTCCCGTCCTTTTCCTGCTTCACCCCATCTGGCTGACCCAACCCAGACCACGTGTACCTTGTAAAATGGCGTTGTTCAGCGCAGCGCTGATCTTACGTCAGGCAGCGGACTTCTAGTACTGCTTCGAGATTCGGGGTTGGTTATATGCGATTTACTTCAACCCATGCATCCGGGCAATCCGTCTAATTTGTGTTGTTGGGTGTCTTCGCGACTTCGGGCATTTTGGGGTGAGTTGTGAGTTTATGAACAAAGCAGGCGACTACAAGAGAATACTGCAACACATGCATTATCGGTCTTGCTGTTGACCGTTGCCCCGCATGCCATTGAAGTTCGGTTTGCAAATGACTGATGTGAACTGCCATCAGGTTGCTGAACTTGCGCACAGTTGTCGCTGGCTCCCCAGCATTTACGGGTGCTGGTCGGGCAACCGTATTTGACAACTTGGCCCAGTCACTTCAGCATGCATAGCATTTACAAGTACAAACATGTATAGCGCGTCAGTCAATCCCGTAATGTGGCGGGAGGCTGCCGCTCTAAGCAGGGTAGAGGATTTAAACTCAGGTGCTAATATCACAGATGTCTAGGGCCTAGGGGGAAGGATTATGCCATTCCACTTCTCTTGGTATCTCATGTGCTCGAGAGTTGAAGAAATCTCGGCGTGAAATCAGGGCTTCGGATGTATCTATATGCGTGTTGCGCACTGCAACAAGGTCAGGGTTTAGGGTTTAGGGCTTAGGGTTTAGGGTTACTGACAAACAGAACATAGCACCATGCGTGCACATCATCACCAAAGCCGCAACTGCGACCTTCGCGTATAACAGTGGTTCAACTTTCTTAGGGTTTGTGTAATGCCCTTGAGGGGTATTCAGGGCGTCTGGAAAGACCATCTTTAATTTGCTGGCCTGGCCAGCAGTTGTTTGAGATCATGGTAATACCATGACAGATCACAAGGGGGGGGGGGGGGGGGGGAAGGTGGCAATACGCTCCGAACACCCTAAACTAAACCCTCATTTGGCGGGGGCAATGCGGAAGTTCTTCTACCGCAATGACTTTAAACTTCGGCCGCGCAATTTTCCCTGAAACCCTGACTTTACCAGAAAGCCCTCATCCCGAAACATGACATCCCCAAAAGGCCGCAACCCTGTAAGCCTAGGCCTAAACCTTATGTCCCCTCAAGCCCTATACCCCTAAGCATCCAACCCGATAGGCCCGAAAGGCTAAACAGGAGGGTCGCTTCCCTAAATGAAAGCCCCCTAAACCCCGAAACCCCTAAACCCTTAACCCTAAACCCTAAACCCCAAACCCAGTCGCTAGGCCCACTTCGTAGACCCCAGATCCTTGACAATCCTAAGACATTCAAGTCCTGAACCCTCTTATCTCTTAAGGTAAGGATTTAGGATCTTCAGGGCTGTGGCTCTAAGTCCTGAACCCTCTTATCTCTTAAGGTAAGTAAGGATCTAGGATCTGCAGGGCTAGAAAGGCTGAAGACTGAAGCCTTCAACCGAAAACCCCAAACCCCAAACCCCAAACCCTAAACCCTAAACCCTAAAACCCTTAGCCTTAAGAGGTCCTTGGCGTGGACTTTGAGGATCTCAGAGCGTCCCTGGACGTCAGGCGGGTCCACCTGCACAGCGCCGTTTTATTGGGGTTTGGGGTTTAGGGTTTGGGGTTTGGGGTTTAGGGTTTAGGGGAGCTTAAAGCTTGAGCTACTATTTGCTTATGAACCCTCCGCCCCCCGCCCCCCCTCCACCCCACCAAAAAAAAAAGAAAGAAGAAGGAGAACAATCCCTGTGTTGCCCTTGATTATAAGGGTGAACAATTTGGGGTGGTTCTGAAACAAATAGTAGTTAGGATTTAGGGTTCAAGGCTTTCAGGTGTAGCAGGATTGGGGTTTAGGGTTTCGGGGTTTGGGTTTTAGGGGTTTGTTTGAGTTTAGGGGGCAGGGAGTGGGGGGGGGGGGGGGGGGCGGGGGAGTGCAAAGCAACTTCTTCTTGTTACTGGAGGGGCGGTGGTGAACCCTAAACTCCTAAACACTCAACCCCAGAGCTTCGGAGAGTTTTTTGGAGAGTCCGCCTGCACAAGGATTCACAAAATCTAACCTTCAAAACAATAAAAAGAGCTTCGAGTTCAGGGTTCAGGTGTTTCGGCTTCCAGAATGAGAGAGACGCTAGCCAAAGCATGGACTTGTTTAGGGTTTGGGGCTTAGGGTTTGTGACATCAAAGCACCTGGCTCTAGATGGGGGGCTAGATGGGGGGGGGAGGGGGGGGAGCCGGGATTTCGTCTAGGAGCCCCTGCTCCCTGCCCCTCCGTCCCCTAAGCGTTGAAACACGAAGCAGGCTTTTTCAAGCGTTGAGCCCAGAACCCGGTTTCTTAAAGCTTGAACCCGAAGACCCCAAAAACTCTGGAGCCGAAAAACTCTAGAGACCTAAAGCCCTAAAGCCCGAACCCTACAGCCCGAAACTCCAGAAAAACCTACAACCCTAAAAACCCTAAGCCCCAAAACCCGAAAAAAGCCCCAAACAACAAACCAATGAAAACCCAAAACCCTAAAGGTCATGAAGCCCTAATCCCAAGAAGCCCTAAACTGCCCAAAGCCCTAGACCCCAAATGAAACTAAAACTTCCGGGGATGACCCTAAACCCTAAACCCCACACCCTAAACCCTAAACCCTAATTCCTGCCTGAATGCTCGAATGTCGGTGCCCTCAGTTGAGAAGCTTTCTTTTGCCATCCTGCGGGTAGCGCCAATCGAAGTGCATATTAGATCTAGAGGCATCAGAAGTTGCCGTAGAAGAACACATAAAGGTCGATGATCTTTGACAGGCCCCAGTCGAAGGCTTAGCCGAGCTGTGGCCTGGCGAGGTGGTGGGGCGGTGGTGGCCCTGAAAACACTTGAGACGAAGGCCCCGGCATACGTGAACAGGAACATGTCGAAGACCTGGGCTGTTCAACACAAGGGCAGGCATTGCCCTTTTCATTCCTGCCTGAATGCTCGAATGTCGGTGCCCTCAGTTGAGAAGCTTTCTTTTGCCATCCTGCGGGTAGCGCCAATCGAAGTGCATATTCGATCTAGAGGCATCAGAAGTTGCCGTAGAAGAACACATAAAGGTCGATGATCTTTGACAGGCCCCAGTCGAAGGCTTAGCCGAGCTGTGGCCTGGCCCACCCACCCCACCCTCTGGGGAAGCTGCGAAGCGTCTGGAGAAGCAACAAAAACAGCGTGAGGTAGTCCACAGGGCGGGTAGGGAGGGAAATTGTCACCGCCTGTGAAGAGGGAGAAGAACTTGTCCAGGCCGGAGCGGAGGTCGAAGCCGACGCTGCCGGGATGGTAGAGGGGACAGGGGCAGCTGACCCTGTCATCCAGACCTCCACTGTGGCCGGGGAGTCCATCCAAAGTTGATAGAGCCAGTCAATGACCTGAGTCTCCATATCAGCAGCCAAGAGCGTGACCTGAGAGAGCATCTCTCTCAGCAGTCTGCCTGTAAGCCGCAGCAACAGCTGCGCCAGGACCCTCACGCCCAACATGAGAGCAAAGGCGACCAGCCGTGGGAAACCCAAAGTCTTCCAACTCATGCATTTTGAAATCCACATCCAGGCCCGGCCAGAGAATGACCCTGCTGGCAACTGGACAGGACCAGTTTGCCCAGCAGCACGAAGGGGGACAGCCTGAACTGGCTGCAGCACTGGTCGCGCACTTGCGTCTGCACGGCCCGGGAACAGTGACTGAAGACCCTCAGAGAACCGCGCCATGAGGGCAGTCAGCCGCTTGCTTTCAGGCCCGGATCGCCACCGCGTCGCCGATTGGCGAGTTGCACTATCGGCCAGCACCTGAGCTGCATTCAAGCCAGGAGTGACCTCCTCATCGCCAAGCGCAATGGTGGCCCTGTCCATCGCCTCCATCAGGACACCCATCGCCCGCTTCGGGGCGTTCCCAGCCGCAGCACCGGCAGATGACGAGTCAGGCAGCGCATGCGCCAGATGTTCTCTGCCAACTGGCGACGCTCCAGCATCCGCAGTCTTGCCCCTGAGCCGGCAAGCCTTCCGTTTCTCCATACCCAGACGGGCGTGGACAACCCTACTCGTCCCGACATGGCCTCAGGAGCTCGAGCAAAGAAAGCGATGGTGGAGCAGCCAATCTGCTTACATGGCGATGCGTCAGCGCTAGCCGCTGCACGGCCTCATCCGGAAACTGCATCGAAGTATATGTCGAAAAAGCCATGTGTAAATAATGTCGGAGTGTGCTAGCCTTAGCCCACCGCCCCATATATTGGAGAGACGGCAGGTTCTCCTGCTCACGGAAGATGTGCGTCGCACCTCCAGCACGCATAGAGGATGGCGTGAACCCAATTTCATGCAAATGAAGAGCTTCGAGGACCTTACGAAAGAGCTCGGCCCACTGATGGCGTTCAAGAGGAAAGAGCTTGCGGTGTCTGCGAAAACCTTGAACCCACCAACGCATCCACTCGATTAAAGGACCTTGCTTAACCAGCACAAACTGAGTTCTGTAAACCCTCCTCGTCTTCGGCTTCCGGATCACCACTACCATCCCTGGCGAGTCTTCCCCTTCAGACCCGCGCATCGGCAGGGTGATGTCCTCCCTCTTCAGCGCCAGTAGCTCTCCCGGTCTTAAGAGTGCAACAAATGACAGCCACGAACCCATCATGAGAGCCCACCACAAGAAACGTACATGCCCTTGAGCAGCCCCACCTTTTGCGAGACACGTCATAAGGAACCCCTGGAAAGTGTACCAAGTCATAGGCAATCTGGACCTCGCCGGCGCCAATGCCCTCCAACTCTTCAAAGCTGCCCAGGTGCCCGGCAACGAAGACCCACTAATTCGCCACGCCCTTTGGACCCCTAAGACCCCAGCTGTGATGTAGTAGAGGCGCTCTCCCTTGGCGTGTGCATCTTCCACAGCCTTTTCCAAATACCTATCCAAGTACTGATGCGATGAATGTCGGCTCAACCTCCCACCCACCCGTCCAGCCCTGTTCAGCAAGTCCCTCGCCGCCTCCACCAACCGACGCTTGTAGGCAGTGGTGAGGGTCGCATCACGCAACCTGCGCCTCATGCATCCAAGCTTTGGCCCTGCCAGCAAGTAGTCGACAAAATTCCCAGGGATACGCAGACGCTCGTTCCGCAGCTGTTCCGGTCAGCGGTGCCCCATGCTCATGGCCACCCCCGCACTTACGCAGCACACCCCTTCCTTCTTTATCTGCAAGCCACGGAAGGGTAAAACACAAGCGAGTTGACTTTCTAGTGGGCAGCCCTGCTCGCTCAGCATCAGAATAGGCACACCAATTCACCCGTTCCAAGACCACATCTTCTTGCGCAAGGAGTTGCTGTGTCTCATCTAAGAGCCAGGCCCGGGACGAAGCAGGGTGCTCGATGCCGAAGAAGCCACCTGCGGAGCGCACAAGCCATGCTAGTTGCACAGCTCGCTGCCAGAGGCGGTTCCCCCGCTCAAGCTCTGGTAAGGCCGCATCGCCTTCAGGACGACCACGAGGTCGAAGAGGGCCACCTGGGTCCAGGTTTCGAAGAGGTGAAAAGGAGCAACATGGTGGAGCGAGCCATATCCACAGGACAGCCCCTGAGAGGATCAAATGGTCGAGCTCCGGGCTGAAAGCATCTGAGCCAAGACTGATCTCCACGGGCGGGTGCATTGGGCATCCAGCCTCACAATGCGCAGCAGTCAATCGCGCGGTGCCTGCAAACACCTCAATGCCAAATCCACTCTGGCGCCTCAGGCCCAAGTCCTTCATCCAGCGTGTCGGGGGCCTAGGCACCGGCAAGGGCATGAAGCGAGACGGGCAGTCTGCCGGGTTGGACTTGGTCTCAGTCCACAACAAGGCGACCGTCACATCTCCAAACAGCAAGAAGGGTACCAACGTTCTCAATAGACCGTTTAAACGAAATGATGATGAACGGCCTTTGGCGACTGCGCCTACGACGACGCGAGAGTCGTTGATGAAGAGTTGAACCCTGCCCTTCCCGGAGTACACCTGACACACCCGGCATAGTTCACGCTTGAAAGCTCTAAGTTCTTGCAGGTTGATGTGCGAAGTCTGCCTGAATGTGTAGCTGGACAACACCCTCCACTGGAGGCATTCTGCAAGCGCACTAGCAAATCGGCTCGGTTCCCCCGGCATTGGTGTGTCCCAGATGAAATCCAGAGACCCATCCAGCCGCACCGGAGCACCCTTCACTTCTGAGCGCCGCCACAGCTCTTTGGCAATGGGCTCCGGGATCGGGGCTTTGGTGGCCCCCCCGGAGGTTGGCGTGGCATCCGTTGCGATCAGTTCTTGTCCAAGCGTCTGCCTCATCCTCCAAGTCGAGAAGGGGAGGTGCAAAGCGATTGAGCGGAGCTCATCAAGAACGTGACAAGGAAGATGCATCCATTTCCCATCCCGCATGCCCCGCAAGAATTTGTATATGTGATGTTGAAGAGCATAAAATTCACGGCGATATTGGAAAACAAAGCACACCGAGCCCAGGACCTTCTGCAAAATGGCCTTTGTGCAAAAGCCCAGCTCGATGATCCTTCGCAGCACTTCCCATATTTGTCTACGAACTTCTAGAGGTGCACCAGCTCTTCCCTTCACACCATCAATCTCGGCGCCCCAAGCTTTGAAACGAACTGCACATCTAAATGCTTTGTGCACCGCCCTCTCTAAACCGACTTTGGCGTAGGCCTGCTCCGCCAACTTCACCTTCTGCACGTCCGGATCCTGGTCAGAGGGGTCGGGAGGGACAAAGGAGCCATCAAGAGCCTGTACGCCACGAGCAAATCATCGAGGTAAATACCTTCCCAAACTCGCCCTACTGGAACTGGTTCACCATACACGAGGGTGTCGGAAGGAGCTAACAGGCCTGCTTGTTGAAGAACCGATTCATGGACCGCCTGGGCTATATCACAGCCGTTGACGTCACCCATTCCAAGGACCCGCAGGCAAGCTCGATGGGGAACCCGGATGTCACACCCCGCCTCGGTGAGAAGCTTCGCGTCCACCCGGCGGCCAAAAGCGTTGAACCTCAGCCAATTGGCCGGGAGAGCGAGGGAATAGTAATAATTCCTCAGATCGTCGCCTGACCCCCGGAGGTATTCGTCATCCTGCAGCAGTAGCCTGCAAAAGCACGCTCCGTTAGGGAGACGGGCCCAGTTCAACTTGCGCATAGTAGCATTTTCTGGTCTGCGATCGAATATCATACGATCTTCAACTTCATTCTTTGCTACACAGAATAAACCGCCAAGACGAAGCTCTCCAGCCTCGCTCCTAGGCAAGTCTGCTTCGGGCACAAAGCTGATCATACCCGCCCCCCATAACTTTCTCAACAACGGTGTCTCTTCTTCTCTAGGCACTCGGTGGCAAGCCGGGCCCACCTCCTTCCAAGCCACCTCTGGCAGCCGAAGATCTTCAAGATGAGCAACCACCTGCGCACGTGCTTCGTCTAAGCACTTGCATGGATCCACCCCTCCAGCCACCTCAGGGATGGCCACGCGCTCAGCCACCACTGGGAGGGCCGAAGGCAAAGAACTCGCATCAACCTTGTCAAAGTGTCCATAACTTGCACCTGTACACGAAGCTAATAGCTTCCCTAACTCCTTTCGCTTTCCCGAACAAGGCAAAGAACCCCTCAAGAGCTCAGGAGTCACAAATTCCTCCACCTCGCCAAGGAGCTTGTCTGCAAAAGGGCGAATCCCCTGCACACTGCGATAGCTCACTCGCGGCTCGAGCACCCCCGCCTGCTCCCCAGGACAACCAAGAATCACGAAGTTTGACCAGGCCACCAACGTGTTTACGAAGACCATAGCCCACCTGCGACTCCCAGGACCTGAAGATTGACAGCCCTCTGGCAACAACGCCTCCGGATAGGGCAGGGCACTCGGGAACAATGGAATATCTGTACCAGACCGTTCCAGTAGATAACCTTGGGCGCGTTCAAACCACGCTAAATACTTCATAAAACGGGTCGAATTCGCGGACGGCAAGAAGGGAAAAACTGTGCTGTCCCGCCGCCTGCCATGCAAAGGTGTCTCAGGGTTCACTTCTTTGGAGGCCGGGCGCCTCCGTCCTCGGCATCCTCGTCGTCGTGGCGGCCGCTGCCGTGGGCTTCTCGAACCTTTTTCCTCAGCTTTCCCAGGGCATCCAGGTAGCCGCTGACGATGGCCATCTCCTCCCTCGTTCCCGCAAACTCCTTGCGAGCCAGGGGGTCTGGTAACCCCGTCAAGAGCCAAGCAGCCGACCAGTCCCCTCCTTGCAGCACCGCTTGGACCTTGGCCTTCATGTTCTGCGCAAGTTGAGCCGCTGCAGCCTGAGACTCGCCGTTGCGGATCAGCTCGTAAGCCGCAGCATCCATCATTGCGCATCTGTACAGGCCTTTGTATCTGCCCCAACTCTGACGACGTATGTAGTCTCGCAGCGTCCATGCCTGGCCCTGGATGACCCCGAGCTCGTCCACGATCTCTTTCTCGAACTCTGCACACACTCGGGAGGGTCGCTCCAAGATCCGCTTGTGCATCTTGTTCAACGATACCACTGCCTTCATGCCGGAGCGGGTGAAGTCGTCGGCCTCGCTTTCGCTTTCTGAGGAGGAACCACCAGGGCGGAGCCCCCGGTGTCCTTCCCCCTTTCGCCCGCCGCCCTCCTTCTTCATCAGCATGGTGAGCATTGCCAGCGGAAGCAGCTCCGACGCACTCTGGCCTTGAGCAAGGCCGGCCCGCACAAGGTCCCCTATCTGGCCTCCCTCCTTCTCCTTCTTCTTCGCCTTCTTCACCGGGGCACCCGGAGCTAACATGGCCTGAGAAGACGAAGCTGCCTGGCTCCGCCTTGGGGCCATGACTTCGAGCTCCTCCTCGCTGTCGCTTTCGTCGTCGTCTCCAAACACTTTGGACAGGCCTTTCAGCTCTCGCTCTAAGCTCTGCTCGGCACCTGTCCTCGACCGAGGTCTGGTGTCCTTGGCGCTGCCCGGGCACTCGGCGCCGCTGCTCTCCAGCTGCTTCTGTTCCAAGGTGCGCCATGCCTCCTTGCAGACTTCTAAAGAGCTAAGGTCGCGTGGCCTTTTTCCTGTCCAACTCGATGGCGCACTCAAAGTGAGGCTATCACCGGGAACTTTGAGGAAGCGAAGGTCGTAGCCAGGCTTATTCCCTGCTTTTGCCTTTTGGCAGGACAAGGAGTTGGCAACTTTCGCACCGTCCAGAGGATCTGTTGCGAGGACCACTTCGGTAGAGCTCACTTCCACCACCCAGCCACAAAGCGGCACGGGTCGATCTTCACTATCTTTGCACAGCACATATGCTATGTCACCCTCGGTGGCCATGGCGCCTCTACCCTCTCCCTGAAAACACTTGAGACGAAGGCCCCGGCATACGTGAACAGGAACATGTCGAAGACCTGGGCTGTTCAACACAAGGGCAGGCATTGCCCTTTTCAACCCTAAACCCTAAACCCTAAACCCTGAACCCCTAGGAGGGAACCCAAAACCCTAAACCCCAAGAAGGGAATGGGCCTGGATTTGTCGGTCGAAGCGCCCAGGGCGGACCAATGCTTGGTCGAGGATGTCCTTGGGCTTTTGGGACTTGGGGTTTAGGGTTTAGGGTTTGGGTTTTTAGGGTTAAGGTCTAGCGTTTAGGGTTTAGGGTTTAGGGTTTAGGGTTTGGGTTTTTAGGGTTTAGTGTTTGGGGTTTAGGGTTTAGGGAAGATGTAGGTTGACGTTTATAGGGTTTGGGGTTTAGGGTTTAGGGTTTTGGGTTAGGGTTTAGAGTTTTAGGGTTTGGAGAGATGTAGGTTACGACTATTTGCTGAAGAACCACCCAAAAAATGAAGAACATGCTCCTCCTTGTAAGGGCGATATCTTGATTATTATTTTGTTTTTATTTATTTATTCTTTTTTTTTTTGGGGGGGGGGGGGGTTTAAGGAATAGTGGGTTACGGTTTGTAGGGTGTCGGGTTTAGGGTGGGGATGGGAGACATGTAGGTTGTCTAGGCCCAAGAGAAACCCGGGAATCAAAAGGATGCCCTGTTTGGCTTCAAGGGGCGTAGTTTAGGGTTTAGGGTTTAGGGTTTAGGGTTTAGGGTTTAGGGTTTAGGGTTTAGGGTTTAGGGTGCAGGGTTTAGGGTTTGTAGTGTCGGGCTCGGGCTTCGGAAGGGGTCGTGGTTTGGGTTTAGATTCTTGGGTCTTCCTTTTGGCTTATGGCTGTCATGAGGCCCTGAACCTTCTCTCAGGCGTTCAACCTTCAAGCCTGGAGCCCTAAACCCTCAAACTCGGAAACCCTCAAAACGCGACAACCCCAAAACCCCTAAATCCTGAAGGCCTGAAACAAGCCGCAGGCGAACCCTAAACCCCAAAGTCAATTACAGCGAAGTTCAAGCCTACTTAAACCCTTTGGAAAACTGACAACACTCTGTAACGACGCAGAAAGCCCTGTTCAAAAACAAAAACTCGAAAAGCCTAAACTCTAAACCCTAAACCCTGAAACCCTGAACCCTAAACCCTAAAGGAACGGGCCCCCTCTGCCACCACGGTGCCATGTCCATGGAGCACTGCAAAAGCATTGCTCGAAGTTGCTGGGCAGGCTGGAGAGTCAGTCTCTGTCCCGAAGCTCTGCTTCCCTAAACCCTAAACCCTAAACCCTAAACCCTAATTTGACCACGATGGTGGCATCGAGGGTCTCACCAGCGGAGCGCACCAGACTGTCTCGGGAGACTCCGAAGTTCACCTCAGGTCCTTTTGCCACCCTCGGCACACGGACATACCCCAGATTCTCACGCCAAACGCCAGAGATCACGGAGCACAGGTGCTTCCTGGCAGCGAACGCCCAGGAACGGCGGTCCATCTCCATCAGCCTCTCTTTCAAAAGACTCAGCATTCCAAAGCCATGTCGGTGACATTCTTGGGAGAGCAGCCGCCGGGCAGCCCCCCTGCTCCGTCCGGCCGGACACACAGGACAAGCGCAGGCGACTGGCAGAGCTGGGCCTGCGCCCCTTCTCCCGTAGTTCCCTGCCAGGACGTCACCAACTGCTTTCGGGGAAGTGTGTGGTGCTTCTGCAGGACCCGGCTGGAGCCGCTGGTGCAGGCCTCTCCCCTGCTGCGTTTACAGGGTTTAGGGTTTAGGGTTTGGGGTTTAGGGTTTAGGGTTTATAGAGATGCTTCTTGCTACACCACAAAGAGGTTGCATGTGAGAGCCTGCTACGCGCTGCCAAACTATGCTGCCGTGTCATTCCCTAAACCCTAAACCCTAAACCCTAAACCCTAAACCCTAACCCTAAACCCTAACCCTAAACCCTAAACCCTAAACCCTAAACCTCTTTAATATATAATTTAAATGTTAATGAGTTACTGGGCAAGGTCATTTTTTTACTGGGCAAGGTTATTTTTTACTGGGCAAGGTCATGTTGTTGCTGGGCAAGGTCAGTTTTTTTGGGCAAGGTCATTTTTTTACTGGGCAAGGTCACATTATACTGGGCAGGGTCATTTTTGTTACTGGGCAAGGTCATTTTTTGCTGGGCAAGGTCCTTTTTTTACTGGACAAGGGCACTTTTTTACTGGGCAAGGTCATTCGTCGTGCCAAAGGCGAAATATTTTCTTAATGAGGTGGGATTCTTTGGGCGGGTGGGAATTTTTCTGGAGTAATTTCTTGACTAGTGAATGCTTGGACTTGAAATGCTGAACCCTAAACCCTAAACCCTAAACACACCAGCTTTCAGCTGCCACTAAAAAATCTCCGCGCGTGCCGAGAGTCCGCTCGGTTTGTCGCCGCGATCACCACGACGCCCTTGTTTGCCTCCCAACAGGGTTTTAGGGCTTTTAGGGTTTAGGGGTTTTAGGGTTTAGGGTTTTTGGGGTTTAGGGTTCTTAGGGTTTGGGGTTCAGGGTTTGTAGGGTTTAGGGTTTAGTTTCAGACATTCTCAGCTAAGAAGCAGAAAGTCTAACTATAACGACTATAACATCCCACAGCTTCTCCCCCCAAAAGAAAAAACTTCTTCGAGTATGGAGTGGGGGCAGGGTTTATCGTTTAGGGCTTAGGGTTCATAGCTTTGTAGCCCAGCAACCATACCATAATAAGGGCACCCTTTTTGGGGTTGGCGTCTGCTTGATATGGGAACCTTGAACCAAAAAATGAAAAAATGGTACCAGTGGGCTACCAAGCCATGGTTTAAGCCTAAACCCTAAACCCTAAACCCTAAACCCTAAACCCTGAACCCTAAACCCTAAACCCTAAACCCTGAACCCCAAACCCCAAACCCTAAACCCTCCAGGGTTTAGGCCTATTCTTCTGAATCCCTGGGCCTCGAAGCCATCCATCTCCGTCAGCAGCTGGTTCCTGAGCTTCGTTTCTGGCTTTGGGGCTCCCTCGGAATCACTACGAGCAGTTTCTATACTCCCCTTAGAACCTTAACAAAAATACTTGATTTTCCTCTTGGGTTTTATATAAACAAAAATACAAAATAATTCCCAAAGGGGGATATAGGTGATTGGCTTCAGAATTTAGGGGTTTTGGGTCTCCCTGGAAAGGGGGAAGTTTTCTCTGCGGGATGTGCGTGGTGCTCTGTTCAGCCACTCTGCCCAAAGCTGTGAGCGTCCTATCGGCGTAGATCTAGATCATTGACCCTTCTCATTTTGCATGGTCCGTACTGTGTCGGGTACCACAACAGCACCCGTAAACTGTAAACCCTAAACCCTAAACTGTAAACCCCAAACCCTCCACCCCACCCTCCCCCAAAAAAGTCAAACACCCGCGGCCTCCAGGCTACTTGAACTACCACCGTGTCTAAGGTGGTGAGCGTGACTTGGGGAACAGCCTACACCCTAAGTTCCAAACCCCTGGCGGTAAACCCTAAACCCTGAACCCTAAACCCTAACTGGCTGAGAAACTGGCTGAGAAAGCATTGGCCTGAAGCCTTGACCCTGTGGAACCCCGAAGCCCTGAGTCTCACAAATGACTGCTAAAATCCCCCTCAATCCCCTAAGTCGGCCCTACTAAACCCTGAAAACTAAACCCGAAACCCTAAACTTGATCCCTAAGCCCTAAACCCTAAAAAACCCTGAACCCTGAACCCTGAACCCTGAACCCTGAACCCTAAACCCTAAACCCTAAACCCTAAACCCTAAACCCTAAACCCTAAACCTTAAACCTAAGGCACACGGTCTGCTCGCGCTCGTCGTTGCCCTGGCCGAAGCCAGCACTTCGCTGTCGGCCGACAGCATCAATCCTGGGGGAACCCTAAACCCTAAACCCTAAACCCTAAACCCTAAACCCTAAACCCTAAACCCTAAACCCTAAACCCTAAACCCTAAACCCTAAACCCGAAACCCTAAATCCTGAACCCTGAACCCTAAACCCTAAGCCCAGACGGGAGGGCTGGAGGGCAGGGGAGGCTAGGTTTTGGGTTTAGGGTTGACGGGACCGGGGGGGGAGGGGAGGGTTTTGGGTCTCGGGTTTAAGGATTTTCTGGGTGTACGGCTTGAAGCTGAGGGTGAGGCTACCCTCCATGAAGGCCTTTTGTTGGGCTCGGGTGTTCAGGGTTTGAGGTCAAGGTTTCGGGCTTAGGGTCTGGGTGTTTAGGGTTTTGGGGTTTCTGGCAAAACATTCGACTTGTTCTCAATTGGAGAGAAGGCCCCTTCTGCGGCTAAAGAGGCTACTACTGAACATCGTGATTTCTAAGCCCTGAATCCTAAACCCTTGCACAGACTGGACTTGAGCAATAGAGACTGCTGGCAGGGTTTCGGCTGTTCGGCTGTAGCCTTCAGGGCTTCGGGCTGGGATTTGGAATCAGGTTTAGGGTTTTAGGGTTTAGGGTTTAGGGTTTCGGGCTCAGGGCTTGCCACAAACCCTACATCCCTTCGGAAAGCCCAACCCCCCCCCCCCCCCCAAAAAAAAAAAAAAAAAAAAAACACACTAAAACATGTGAAACCCTAGATAAGCCCAAACCCAAAACCCGATGTGAAACCCGTCTACAAAAAAACCCTAACCTGTATAGGAAACCCTACACCCTCTTAGGGCAGTTACATGCTCCCATAGTATGGGCCCTTGAAGGGGGTGCCCTTCTACACCCCATGCAACCCAAGGGCCCATGCTTCGGAACCCTTTAAAGGATGTAAGGGACATCCTAAACCTTAAACCCTAAACCTTAAACCCTAAACCCTAAACCCTAAACCCTAAACCCTAAACCCTAAACTGCATGAACCCGGAGCCGAAGAGCTCGTCAATGAAGATGATGCAGGGCGCCGACCTTGCGGGGAGCTTATGGATGTTGAGGGTTTAGGGTTTAGGGTTTAGGGTTTAGGGTTTAGGGTTTAGGGTTTAGGGATGGCAGGCGTGGAAAAGGGCCCTTCGGGGTTTCGTGGAGTTACCCTACAGCCCAGGTTTAGACCATTTAGCTCCTTGAGATTCACATAAATATAACCACACGCATCTATATGTGTTTATACATAAATAAATAAATAAATATAAATATAAATATACATATATATATATATACGCTCTGAAAGAAGAGGGCTCCTGGGGCGAAGAAGTTTTTTTCTCATAAAGGGGCTGGGTGGTTGCGTCTGGCTTTAATGGGTTTTGGGGGTTTAAGGGGTTCAGGGCTTGGGACCGTTAAGGATTTGACGGGATGAAGGAGGTGTGAATATTTCTCATGCCCCTGATGCTTCAAGAGAACTGCAGAAATGCACTTAAGTAGGACCTAAACCCTCTTCTATGAACCCTTAATCTTCGAAAGCCCTGAAACCTAAGCCCCTAAACACTCTAAACCCGAAGTCCTCTTCAACCCTAAAGCCCACTGCTTCACCTCCTCAATCTCCCGAATGTGATCGTCAATCTTACCAAGCAAGGAAGACATAATGATGTTCCCTATCTCCTCCACCTTTGCTTCGGTGCTGGGGGTTTTCTTGTTCTTCGAGTCAAGAACCTTAAGGCCTTAAGGCATGTCTCAACATCTTCCTTGTTCATCTGCTGGACGGCGTTGTGAAAAATCTGCCCACTCTGCTTCTCATAGTGCCCAAGAAGTTGGCAATAGCCTGCGCGTGTTTGAGGTGCTCTGGTAGCTCTTCTCCTTGACGAGGGCACTGAGCTTGGCAGACTGCTCCCTTAGCACGGTCTTCTTATCAACCTTTGACTCGCGTAAGGCTTTCAAGACGGATGTGCCACCACCACGCATGGCTATCACCATAGCGCAGGAAGGCGTCTCCCGAAGTGCGGCGTCAATCGGCTCCCATTCCTCCAACATGGAAGCCGAGTCAATCTCCTGTACGTCGCCTGCCGGGTACTTGGGCGTGTTCGAGTGCCATGCGGGATACTCGTGGCGCAGAGAAGGAGCCGATGGAAAGTCAACTCACCCAGAGGGTCCATTTGTAGTACTATTATGGAATTAGGTACCCCAAAACCCTGTTTAGTTTTTGTTGGTACCTAATTCCATAGTAGTACTACAAATGGACCCGCTGGGTCACCAGAGGTGTGGACTACTGAAGTGGAAGGTCCCGTCGCCGTGCTTACAAGCCGGCCTAACTTGCCATTCGCCAAGAAGGGAGTTTACGAACATAAGGGATCCCGAATATAGACCCCGAATTGTAGGATTGACTCATAATAAGGACCCCAATAAGGTGCCCCTAAACCCTAAATCCTAATCTCTGAACCCTACCCTAGTTCGGAAACCCCCGTGTGCCTGCTAATTAATCTTCTGCCTAAAGGTCTCGCGTTGCTCTCGCTCGGATTGTCCGCAAACTGTTTACATAAACCCTAGAACTCCTAACCCCAAACCCCCTAAACCCTAAACCCTAAACCCCAAAGGCCCCAAAGCCTAAACCCTAAACCCTATAGACCCTAAACCCCAAAATTCTCAACAACCCCAAGCCCCAGGGGCTTCTTGGCTTGCTCGAAGAGGTCTCGCCCGCGCGATGCACCGATGCCTCGACAATCGAGGCTCGTCAACCCCCCCCCCCCCCCCGCCGAAGTTGTTTCAAGTTTGTCGGGTTTTGGGTTTTCGGGTTTCGGTTTAGGGATAGGGTTCAGGGTTTAGGGTTTAGGATTGGGATGTTGCCCCTTATTATACTAACAGTCCTGAGTAGGGATTAGAATAGGGGGTACTAGAACCCCTATTAAGGACTATTCGGATAAGGGGGAACATCCACAAATTTAGGGTGTAGGATCCCGAAAAGGGTGCCCCCTGAGGACCATAATTTCGACTATTGCGACAGAGACCACCATGTGGAACGACGGACCATCTTCGGGTGTTCCTTGTGAGGTCTGGGGCTTTGAGTGCAAGTACGGGTTCAGGCTTCAGCATGCCACCGAGGTACCTGTGAAGAGCCCCGAAATCCGAAGCCCTAAGCCCCCGAAACCCTCAGCCCTCAGACCCTAAACCCGAAACCCTAAGCCTACTCTAAAAGACCCTACCATTCTAAACCCCAAACCCAAAAAAGCTACACCCTAGAATCCTAAACGCTAAACCCTAGAAGGGCAAACCCTAAACCCTAAACCCTACACCCTAAACCCTGAACCCTAAACCCTAAACCCTAAACCCTCCCTCTAAGGTGCCCTCGCTCCCCAGCCTGCGAAAATCTCCACGAACTCTGATGCGGAGATGCCTTGGGTGCAGGGGCCCCAACTTTGTAGGTAGGGTTTAGGGTTTAGGGTTTAGGGTTTAGGGTTTAGGGTTTAGGGTTTAGGGTTTAGGGTTTAGGGTTTAGGGCTTAGGGTTTAGGGTTTAGGGTTTAGGGTTTAGGGTTTAGGGTTTAGGGTTTAGGGTTTAGGGTTTAGGGTTTAGGGTTTCGGGTTTCGGGTTTCGGGTTTCGGGTTTCGGGTTTCGGGTTTCGGGTTTAGGTTTAGGGTTTAGGGTTTAGGGTTTAGGGTTTAGGGTTTCGGGTTTAGCGTTTAGGGTTTAGGGCTTAGCGTTTAGGGTTTAGGGTTTAGGATTCAGGTTTTAGACCTACGGGTTCCAGGTTCTTGATGCGTTGGATGCTTGACATCTGCCAGGGAGCTGAAGAAGGGGACGCCAGCTTCACCGGCCACCGCCTTGGCCAGCAGGGTCTTGCCTGTACCTCGGCTCCCAGCGATCTTAGTTTAGAAAGCTTAGGGGTTCAGGGTTTAGGGTTTAGGGTAACTGAGGAATCCTAAACCCTAAACCCTGAACCCTGATCCTAGTCTCTCCTGTACCTCGGCTCCCAGCGATCTCGTTTAGGCTTAGGGTAACGGACGTAGGGCTTGGGCACTTAGGGTGATTCCAGAACCGCAAGGCCTAATCCATGAATCCAGTCCCTTAACATCTCTAATCCCGAGGCCTTGACGAATTACAACGTTCACGTCA